TTGCTCTTGCCAACATCGTTGATCGTCTCAACCATAAACTTTGTTCGTACAGACAAGTCGGAAGACCCGGCTTCGTTGACTGCCTTGTTGAGGATAGATGTAACATGCTTTAGGGCATTGGGGTCATCCCTCCGCATAAGACGGCCTGCCATACGGCAGATGCGAAGAAGAAGCTCAACATTGAGTTCATTCAGGTCCGCGAGGAACCTTTCCATGTAATCAAACATGATTTTACAGGTCACAACCTCGAACAGGTATAGCTGTGTGAGAAATCCGAGTATGTTTGAGGACTCCTTTGGAATTTCCGAAAAGCTAACCCCTTCTTGTGAGGCATGCTTATAATATTCGCCAAAGTTAACCACCACTTGTTGTATGAGGTGGGATCCAAAGCTGGATCCAATCACTTTGTAGACTGCAGCGGAAAAGCCGCCTGTAAGAACCAAAAATTGATCCGGGATGCTTGAAGATTTGTACATCTGCGCCAGAAGTGTATTTGTGAGGATTTCGGTAACGTCGCCACGGGCATTATTTTGGTAAAGCTCCTCGATGGATTTGACAATACCCAGAATATTTGCTTCCGTCAGACGATTCACCAAACCTTGAATCTGTTTCTGCAGCCGCATCTTTGCTTCTGAGTCCGAGATGGCAGCTTTTCGCAAAGACGGAGGGATGTATTTGGCGACCACTGCCCCTGTGGCAGGTGCCACATAAGGATTTTCCTTTACTTTGGTCTTGGGCTGCCGTGATGTATCATCTTCTTCATCCTGATTCTCGAATTCGTCGTCTGAGAAGTCGAAAGCGTCCTCATCTTCTGAGCCCTCTGATTCGCCGAGGTCGCCCAAAGAGGCCGAGGCTGCCTCTGGCATTGCCTTCCTCCTCTTTGAAGCCAACCAGTCATCATAATGCCGTTTTCGCTTCGACGTCTCATCAGCTTGCATCGTCTCAGAGTCGGATCCAACATCGCCAAGAATTTCGTCGAGCCCATCATCTCTAAAGGCCTTCGGCAGTGAGGAGGCCCCCTTCTTTATGCGCAGCTTCTTTTCAAATTCTTCGATTTCCTTATCATCCTGGGCAAGCTTTTCGCGTACAGCGCTGGAAAGGCCGTCGTGTTTTGATGATCCTTTCTTCGGTAACTGCTCCTCGTCGCTTTCGGAATGACTGTCGTCCTCTAGATCGAAATCGTCCGCGTCTTCGATGTCGTCGCTGTTGTCGGATTGCTCAGAGATATCCTCATCTTCCTGGTCTAGTGCCGTTGTGGGATCATCGGAATCACTTTGTTGGCCATCGCTGGACGCCGATTCAACTGGAGCAGCCGGTCGGCGTTGGGTGTTTCTTTCTGGGCGAGGAAACCCGGTCCCATTGACAACCTTTTTCGCAAACGGGGGCTGCTTCGAGTGGCTCTGCCCCCTTTTCTGTGCTCTCTGGGCCTTTCGACGCGATACTTGGCTGAATGATTCTCTCCTCTGCTTGGTTGGGCGCCTTTGTGTCGGTCGTTTTTCCTCTGGCACATCCAAGCCCATGCGCTTGAAGAGTTTTTTTTGGAGCTCTAGAGCCCCTGTGGACGGCATTGCGGTGGGATATAGATCCAATTCACTGGTAATAAAATGTGGAATTTTATATAAGCATTGCATGGGAAAGTTGGATTTGCGATGAAAACTTTCAAATGTCAGACCAGCATCGTATACCCGCGTCGCAAAATTTCTAAATGACGTACTAGTGGCGCAGGGGTCTCGACAGCTTCTAGAGAGAGAAAAATTACACACCCTAGACAATTTCTAGTTGGAGATCAAAGCCATAATGTCAATTTCAATAACATATTTCTATGTTTATTTCAGTTGAAAATTGGCTTGTTCTGCCATGCGTTCTACGTGACACCTTTTTTACTTCCCTTAACTTATTTTGTCTTGTCTCTTTTTTTTTTATCTTTTTCCGCGGATAAGATAAGATAAGGCTCGGAAATCGATCTCGTGACTACAGGCTGACTGTGGTTGGTGAACAACCCGGGTGTAAGTCTAACGTACCCTGGAATTAAGAGTAGCTGGTTTGTCTTTCCTGGGCGGACGAGAAGCGACAAGCTATTGCATTCAAAAATGGCTCTCATGTATGGTAGTGGCCTCTTTTCTATACGGCTACAACTGTGGATCAAATGGTTGCCGACTTGCTTCACAATTTGCGCCTAATAGCCGGAATATGTGCCCGGCTTCTGCGTGGGAATCTGGTGTTAGTGATGGTCGGTTCAGAGGCGAGTCGCCTACTCCGTAAGGTACCTAGTAGGTAGCTTCTAATCCGATAAAACGAGCTAACCTTTATATTGCAAGTATTGCCTAGTACAGTTTTTCAACATCGTAAAGGAATACCTATGTGCTACTCGTATGTGCCCGCGCTGTCCACATTCCCTTGTCTTTGAAAATTCGAGACGATCGGCGATGACTCAAGCTTCTCAGAAGTCCGGATATTATTAATCCAAGAGCAAAGAGCACGAGGCTACGGCAGCTAATCGCGAGCGACCGGGACCCTGGACCAGGTATGTAGGATGTGCGGGCGATGGCTTAAAATCCGCGGGCCAGACTCCGCGCCTTTTCCTGCAGTTCCATTTATTACTTAACACTTACACGGAAGGCGGCATATCGGACGAGTGATTTTGCTTGGTGTCGGCTTGTGGCCGTGGAATCTACCAGTAGCAAAAGCCGGGATGCATTCAAATGGACCGCCTAGTGGCTGGTACCCTGGCTGAGGAGCACACCAATCGTGGCTTTAGAGCAGTGGGGAGGCTGGTCAACTATCATCGGACCAATCGATGCTGACATGGTTTTCCACGTTTGTTCGCGTCACGCCACCATCCCCGGCATTGAGTGATTCCAGCTGCAGTAACAAGGAAAGAGTACTTGTATTGTAAACGGAAGAGGGACAAGGCAAGGCTCTGAGGAGAGAGACGAGGGGCTGGTTGGGGTTGATTGGGGCGTAAATGAGGGGTTCTGAAGGTGACGGGGTGTCGTTTGGCTCGGGTGGTGAGTGAGGTGAATGAAGCTCTGCTCTCGTTTTTGCTCTGATTTTTGCTCTTGTGTTTTTTTTTTCTGTTTCGCTAACACCAGCCCTCTCTGAATGGAGGCCATCGAGGAAACAACACCAACGGAAAAGATGCCGGCCATCAGATGACCGATTGTGCATGGGTCGTGTTAGTATAGGCAAAAGTTGAGCATCCATCAACTATAGCGCGCCAAGATAGTATCCAAGTGGGGAGCTCCAGCTTCAAGCCATTTCGTCACAGCGCTTCGGTGGAGACATAGCCGATGGTTCGCCCTCCGATGTCCGATCCCAACTCCGGAATCACCGGGGGTCGGCTGCGAAAAAAAAAAACGAACGACGATAAGTGCGGAGTCGTGATGAGTTGACAGCCGGTACGAGTACAGTACCCGGGCAGAAGGGCACCAAAGTATGACGAGCGGACGTGCGTGGTCTTATAGCTGGGTACTGTAACAGCTCAGCTTCGCAATACGCAATACGCACAAACACTTGGCGCGCAAATACGCAAGATACTCGTACGCAATACGCCGCACGCGATAACGCGAAGCTTCCTGCGACGACGACGACGACGACGACAACGACGACAACGACGACAACGAGGCTGTAAGTGAGGTGAGGTGGCATTGGACTCACGGTGCTGTGTGCATTCATGCGTGGCGGGGGTCAGTTTGTCAATCACAACTCGGTAAACGCTGGTGTTACCTCTAGCTTATCACGCCAAATGTATCTTGCATGCAGCTTGGTTGTACGAGTATGTACTCTTACCAAGAATGAATGTACTAAGCAAGGTATCAACCTTAGCAAATGCAGTACCGAGCGGTTAGGTAGTACCAAGGTAAGCAGTTTGAAAGCCGCCCGTTGTGTCATGGGCGCGGCAGCGTTTGTCAGACATCCATCCATCCTGACAGCCGAGAAGCCGCATGGCGTTTGCCGGGCACCGGCCAGGGTTCAAGGTTCTCCAGACGGCATGACAGTGCGTCATAGCACTGCGTCCGGCTGTACCCTGACTTGCGGCAGGGCTCAGAGCAGCTGTGCTATTGCCTATTTCCGCATCCTTCAAGCTCTGTTTGGCACCTTCAGCTTCAACATGTGACGGAGGCGCCTCGCCCTACCAGTTCGTCAATCCCGATGGGAGGAAGGGCCAAGACTCCAAGACTCCAAGAGCTGGTCCGGACACCCCTTCGGTACTAAGGTCTACTAGATACCTAGCCGGCGATCCAGTGCAAGTACCAATCTACACCCGTCCGGAGAACGGAGTACTCGCTGCGGATTTACAGATACCTGTGCCATGGATCAATGCATGCGTGATTCCTTTAGGCGCGACCCGATTCCGTGCCATCCTCACCATCCCTTCCCGAAATCGCTGGAAGAGGAAACCAAGCACCCCCACCTCCATGCAGTGGAGATGTGAATCTTTTTTTTTCTCTCTTTTCCCACCTGGGCTTCTTGATTCTGGCTAGTACCTACCTTGGCAAGCTTGGGTACACCTACCTAGTACTGACCGCATCTGAGTACCAACAGCGCGAGGCTCGGAAGCCTCGGAGCTCGACTTCATCTTCCCTTCCAGCAGCCCACAGGCAGCGTTCCTTGGCTTTGGATTCTCGCATGATTTGATGTGATGACAATCGCAGCCCTGGATTTTGTGCCGCTCAGGTCCCGCCCGGCGGGATGTAGCGGCTTCTATAAGCTGCCGCCGTGAGCTGCTTCTTCCTTTTAAGACAGCCACCCACCCGCCTATGACTCTCGTAGAAATGAAGCTTTAGTTTTCTTTTGCTCGCAGTAGATTGCGGATTCCTTTGGCCGGGCACGCCTCTTCTCCCCCTCCCTCACTTCTCCCTCTCTCTCCCCCATCTCAAGGCGTCCCTGCATGTGTTATTTGCTGTCCTTGATTCGTCTCTGAACCTGCGCAACGTTGTCGAACGCCTCTTGGCCTCTTTCTTTTTTAATTCGTGATTCTAAGCGCACAAGCAACCACGATGAAGCCAGCTGCGTTCGGCCGTAGCCTTGCCGGTATCGCTGTGCTCGGCTTAAGCTTGGCCCTGCCAGTCCTCGCAGACAATGCGCGCCGTCATGGTGGTGAGATGGAAGGCATGGAGGGCATGGAGCACGCAGAACCAGACCAGCAGGACTCCGAATATCCTCCCACGTACTTTGCCCATCCCGAGCATACTCAAGTGCTGTATGCGCACATTGCGCTCATGACAGTGGCCTGGATCATTTTCCTTCCAGTTGGTGAGTATCCATCTTAGACGCGATGCGATGTAAGACGGAACAGCTTCAGTGCTAACAAGACCCAAAAAAAGCCGTCGTTTTGTCGCTGGCCAAGTCTCGCTATGTTCTCCCCTCGCAGTTCGTCTTCCTCGCGGCCAATGCGCTGGGCCTGATCCTCGGAACGGTTTACAACGCGCAGACGCCCGACCTGTATCCCAACAATGCGCACCACAAGATTGGCTGGATTGTGACTTGGGTCATTTCTGCGCAAGTGGTTGTCAGCCTGCTCCGGCACATTGGCGGGGCTTTCACGCCAAGTGCCGACCAGCTAGCGGAAGAACGCCGCTCCTTCATCCCACTTCCCACAAGCGCCCACTCCAACTACTTCGGCGACTACCGCTTCTCCAACGACAGCGGCCAGGGCTCCGAGCCGACGACGGAATCGCTTCGCGGAAACTCCTTCTCCACGCTTGCTGAAAATGATCATCGCGAGGTCAATTTCGATAAGGAGCTGGAGGAGGAAGATGATGACCTTGACGGCCCCACCATGCCCATGCCCATGCCCGAGCCGGCGCATAAGAGCAAGACGACGCTAATGGCCATCAAGGTCTTGTCATCGCGAGTCTGGAAGTACGTTGACTTTGGATACAAGACGGTTGATCGCATCATCATGCCCTTTGGCTTTATTGCTTACATTACCGGCATTGCTACTCTTGGTCGCCTTTTTGTACGTGTCTAATTAACCATCTCTCGGCGTGGAACAGCGAGCATCATTGCTAACAGCCTTTTAGGAGGGATCTGCCATCTTCAGCGGACTTGCTCACTGGATCAAGGGCGGCATTTTTTTCTGGATGGGCCTCCTCACTCTTGGTCGCTGGTCTGGAAGCTTTTACGAGTCGGGTTGGGCCTGGAACCTGCGCCCTCAGAAGAAGGCCGGCCAGCGATGGGCGCCATCCGCAGAGTTTGTCGAAAGCTTCCTCATTTTTTTCTATGGCTCGACCAACATCTTCTTGGAGCATTTGGGCAACAGAGATGGTGTCTGGACTCCAAGCGATCTGGAGCACTTCTCCATCACCGTACTTTTCCTCGGAGGCGGCTCTGTAAGTCTCGCGCAAATACTCTGTTCTCTTCTCGCACTTCGAAACATTTACTGACTGCTGCTGCAATAGATTGGCATGCTCGTTGAATCTACATGGTTGAGAAGCCTGCTCACCACCCTGATTACTAGCACCAACCCCAATCCTTCCGATGATGAGCACGCGGCATTCGAACCCCCGGAATCGTACGAGTTCTCCATCAACCCCCTCCCTGCACTCATCATCTTCCTGCTCGGCATGATGATGGGTGGCCACTCGCAGGAAACCATGACCGGAACCATGGTCCATAAGCAATGGGGCAACTTGCTACTCGGCGCCTCTCTGGCCAGAATGCTCACGTACGTTACAATGTACCTGAAACCGCCCAGGTCTGTTCACCCATCTCGGCCACCGACCGAGCTCTTAGCAGCTTTTGGTCTTATCGCAGGTGGCATGATTTTCATGTACAGTGTGAGTAATTCAATATTTCCCATCCCCAAGGAGCCCGAAACTAACGGCAGCAGAGCGCCGATACCATCAAGGGTATGATTCACTACGACTTGGAACCAATGTCGCTCTACACAATTACTTTAGGCTTTACAGGCTTGTTCATGTCCTGGGAGCTCATCGTTTTGGCCCTCAAGGGATGGGCGGTCCGCAAGGAGCGCAAGTCCCAGGCTTCAGCCTTTGCTTGAACATGAAGTTTTCGACATTGAGATGATGCCTACTTCGGATTGGCAAACTCGACCCGAGCTCGGAGTTCCAAAAATTTCTTCTTCTATACGACCTTTACGCATGCTTTTCTTTCAAAGATACCCTTTCATGATACACTGGGAGGCGGATTGGATATCCTGGCCTTTATGATACCACGTTCATTTTCTTTTTGCAGCGGAGATAGTAGTAATAAGAGTAGTGTTAGGATAGGGTTATTGAGATAGTCATCCTATAGAGGATGTAATAATATATTTGATGAGGACCGAATTGACCTATGGTTCGATCACAAATCGGCGGCGTAAAATGTACAGGCCACGGCATACCGCAAGGTGCCATTTATCCGAGTAGCTTCTTAATCAGCAGCAGATTCTGAAGTCCTCGAGGTGCCTGCATAGAGCAGCCTCATATGGACGGAGCAAGTAAGCCTGTAAGGTATAATTACTAAACGCAGCCTTGTGGCAGCATCAGGGACCCGGCCCGATTACCAGTGATCACAGCCAATGGTCTCGGTATCGCAAATTGCTATAAAGGCACAGATATGTTGCCATCTTATGCCATGATTCCACTAAGGAGCTCTGTGACCTCCGTGGGGTGTGTTGTGGTAAGGGGAGATGTCACTAGCCTCATGTGAGTTATCGCCCGATAAGAAACCATGGTGAAAGAAGAAATTTACCACAAGCAGAGCGCGAGGTTCAAGATTTCTCAGCCGGAGAGAGCCAACTCAGCCCTGGCGGTTCTCCGAGGTCTTGAGGACGGCATTCTGCTGAGCAGAGGAGAATTGCTTGGCGCCCTGCTGCAGCGCGTGGACGAGGGACGGCACGGATTCGGCCTTGAAGTCGTCGGCGTTGCGGATCTTGTCCAGGTCCTCGGAGAGCTCTTGCGTGAGCTTCTGGAGGTAGAGGGCCGAGAAGGCGGCTTGGTTTGAGTCTTGCGGCATCCTTGATTATGTTGAGAGAAGCGAGGTTGTTATAAAATGAGAGTGGGAAAAAAAAAATTGGCCTGGTTAGGCATGAAATGAAGCATTGAATTTGGGACTCATCCGATTTGGGTGGATGACCAATGGTGGAGAGGAAATGGCTGACATAACCACGGTTATCCTTGTCTAAAAATGGTCTTTGATATCTACGAAGAACGAAAAGAAAGGGAATTGTAATAGATTGAGCGTATTGATATGGGCACATAGTAGAGAAAGATGTGTCAGTCATATACTTTCAAAAATCCAATGAACGTAAAATCACTAAAAGTTGTTCTTTACTCCAGAAAGAAACTTCAACAAGTAAAAAGTTATCTTGAGGTGTGTGATAGTGCAGAGTACATGCCGATGGACATGTACATGGGCCAATCGCTCAAGAATAGGCATACATATAACAGATGAGAAGTGCCATGAGAATTATCTAAATTAATTGAAAAAACACGAAGAAATTCATGCATGCGCATTCATTTCAATTTAAACATTCCTCACTGCGTCGTGCTTCCATAAAGCCCTTTGCTCGGGGTGCTGGGAAAGTCACTGTTAGCCGCTTCCCCTAGCCGCTGCTAAGGCAAGGCACGCACTCTATAGCGCATCTGTGCGATCGGCGGATGCGCCATGCTAGCAGCACCACTCCAGCCGAGTTAATGCGCGTGCCCAAACATCCGATATTCGATTACACACCCAAACATCCTTTTAGATGCCCATCGCCCGCAAGGCCCATATCATCGCTCTGCCAATCTCTCCCAACCATCCTATCCAGGGCGCTGCACAGAAAGGCCGCAGATATCGACCATCGATTCTTGCAAACGGCATTTCGGCCTTGGTTGAGAGGCGCGTCGAACGTTGAAACTCCAGCACAATCGCATCAATCGCATCACACCCATTCCCACAGTCGCCATGTCCACTCGACCAACGACTCCCGCATCTCCCAAAAATGCCAAAATCAAATCCCCTTCGCCGGGATGCCCGGTATTCGGCTGCGGTGAGTCTACAAGCCAAAAATCAAGATTCCAAGCCTCACATTTGCTGGCTTACTAACCTGCCTCCAGAGCATGTTCAGCGTCTCCTGTCCCAGAGCCAAGAGGTCATGAATAGCTCTGTAGCGCACTACAAGATGATCCTCCGAGGCATCTTCGATACGAGTCCCATCGTTCCTCAAACATCAACAAACACGGAAGGCCGCCCCGTCACTTCCCTTACCTCCAACTACCTGTGTCTACAATGCCCAGTTACGGTGTCCGAAGACGATCGGCTGGATCACGGCACCGAGAAACTGCATCGATTCTGTACGTAACGGCTCCGATACGGCCGATTGAATAACACTATGCGATTCATAGTTGCTTACAAATACAGACGTCGACTCTCGCAGCGGTGCACTTTATTGTCAGATATGCGATGACCTCGTTTGGGACCCCACGCTGGAGGAGCTCAGGGTGCGAAAGATTGGAACCGGGACGTTCTCGAGTATGCAAACCCCCAAGCACCGCTTCACAATGACTTGTTTTTCGTTCCCTGTGATTGGAAGTTGTCAATTGGCCGTCTTCTCTGGGCATCAGTAACCTAAGTTGCTTCCTTTAGCGAATCGAAAACGAAAGCACGACGAACTTTTTGCCGACTCGGCCAAGGAGGATCCTCGCCTCATCTCAGCCAACACAACCGTCGCATCGTGTCGAGCTAGTGGCCTTCGCGGCATCTACAACGCAGGTGCAACTTGCTATCAGAATGTCGTGCTCCAGAGCTTCCTCCACAACCCCCTCCTGCGCAACTTCTATCTGAGCGATGGCCACCAGAGCAGCGAATGCAGCATCTCTCACTGCTTGAGCTGTGCCATGGACGACATGTTCCAGGACTTTTACGCGCTGGAAAGTACCAATGGCTACACAGCCGCCAATATCTTGTCCGGGTTTTGGATTTCAGAAAAGAAGGCCTTTGAGAATCTCGTGACGACCAAGGAGCAGGACGCCCATGAGTTTTTCCAATTTTTGGCCGAGGAACTTCACGAAAGGAACGGCGATGGGAAGAAGCCGCAGGGTGGCAGCGAGCATACGTGCAACTGCATCATCCACCAAACATTTTACGGCAAAATGCAAACAGTCACAACCTGCCAGAACTGCGGCGGCATGACCCATGCGGTCCAATCTTTCCTGGATCTCAGTCTAGGTGTTGACACGCTGGCGCAGAGACGAGCTAAGAAGACGGGTCAGAAGCTGCCGGCACTGTCACTGAACGATTGTTTGGACGAGGAATACGTCAAGTCGGATAAATGCGAGTATAGGTGCCACAACTGCGCATCAACACAGCAAGCACGGAGGTATACCAATATTAAGCGTCTGCCCAACGTATTATCTATCCAACTCAAGGTAAGTTGTTTTGTCATTAATGCATTGGGTCCGCTACTGACACGCCTCCCCTCAAGAGATTCGAGTTCAAACAGGGAAAACATGACCGAGCTGCGTCCAAGATTGATAACACCGTTCAATTCCCGCTGCAGCTCAACATGCTTCCCTACACCAACCGTGCTCGCAGCCGTGGCAGTCGGGAGGATATGGAACTGGAGAGGTCGTGTACCTATGACCTCTTGAGCGTTGTTGTTCACGTTGGCGAGATAGAGACTGGCCACTACGTGTCATATTGTCGAGTTGGGGATCAGGTACGGCCGGCATTCTTTTCTCTCTCTTGTCTTTTTGCTTCTCACTAACAAACACAGTGGTTCAAGTTCAACGACCACAGAGTAGAGCTAGCCCGGACGTCTGATGTGCTTGGCGCCCAGGCATATCTATTGTTCTATATCATCCGGTCTCTCGCCTAGGAGACGCCACTGCCTGTGCTGCAACCAAGGACACCATAACTACTATACCCACTATCCCTGGACTATGGGATGAATTAGCATACAATCCAGCATACGATAACTCGTCAATATGGCTATGCAGCTTCTTTAAAAGGGCACCTATCCTTGTCATAGTTGTCTATACATCCAATTACCCGTCTACCTCCTATGTCAATATGGTCGTGCTTATTGAAATATCCCAGTGGCATCCTCTTTTTTTTTTTTCTTTACCGCCATTTCCAATTTGGGCATTCGAAATTGGCGTAGCAGTAAAACTCGTTGCTGAGGCCTCTTGTATGCTTGGGCTCAAAGGCAGTTGTCTGCACTCCCAGTGCCTTGTATAGCTTGAGAATCAGAGACTCCATTCTTTCTCCGGTGCAGACAATGAGATTGGGTGATGGTCCGCCGCTGCTTGGTTTGAGAAGCCAGCGCACGGTCAAGGCAGCTTATAGCCAAAAAGATTAGCGTATAGATTTAGAGGGAGTTATTGGATATCGAGGTGGGAATTGGTACCTTTGGTCTGGCAGTCTTCGCTCAGAAATGGCGGATCACAGATTATTCTGTCCATGGATCCTTTCAGGTGGCCTGCGTGGACATGAGATTATTATGATATACGTATGAAGACTTGAGGCAGATCTCAAGAGAAAGAAGAGAAATTGCAAAGACAATAATATAGGGAAAGATTCGAGCCAAATTTCATACCTGGCAGTTTGACTGGCTGTTGGAAATCATAAAAGAAAAACTCGGGGAACACGCCAAACCGGTTGTCGTGTTCCAAAAGGACAAGCTTTGGCTTTTCATCATCACTTCGATCTCGCTACAGCATGTAGAAAATGAAGAACATCAGCATTGCTTTCCCTCCTCCTCCCCATACAGTGTGCATGATTCTGTAGTAACTCACCAGGAGATTTCTGAGCGCGACGAAAACACTCGGCGCTGAGACAACGCCGATGGTCATGTCACTTGTCGCATCTCTAAGCAGTTCCGTCGCCAGGATATTGGCAGTTTCCTCTGAATACTAATAGACAAATCAGCGGTTCGTCCTCACTTTCGCGAGTATTCTTGTGAAAAAGAACCAAAAACGTTGTAATCACGCACCCAAAACTGAGACTCATTCCAGTCCTCTTGGAACGTATCTATGGACAGCAGGCTGTTGCTCTCCGCCTCGTCCTTGAGCCGCTGGAACTTTGCCTGGTGCTCGTCTCTCTCCGCTTCGAACGACTTGAGCGCCGCGAGGGCGTGTGCCGAGAGGGTGCTATATTCCAGCAAAAAGAAGAAGAAAAGTCAGTCATTTCATTATATCCCACCCCCTCCATTATTATCATTATCATTTTTTCCCGGCCAACCCTAGAAATTGACGAAAGTGAGAGAAGGGGATGTTTACATGGGCTCATCATCGCTGTCAGACATTTTTGCCGTTTTGTATTTTATAGGTGTTGCTTTGGGACGGAGACTTGGAAGTGCCTGTAATGTGGTCGACTCAAGTGGTAAAAAAATGTTCGCAGCGTTGCGATAGTTCGGGGTGCGCTACTGTATCTACCGGTTTACAATAGAGAAAGTACTTCTCAGAGACTAGGGACCAAAGTATAGGCTCTGCGTAACTGTGACTAGAGATACATGAGGCTGAGATGTTTGTCAAGTATTTTTCATGATTACGTACAGGCCATGTGTTAGTGGTACATGATGCAAAATCGCTACGAGAAACCACCGAAAAATCAACTATCAAGATATTTCAATCTCATATCAAATAACAAACTTGAGGCTTTCTTAATAGCTAATAGTAAAGCGGCCATAGAAAATGCAAATTTTTACCGCACTATTTCTTTTTTTTTCTTAACTTACCTCTATTTATTTCTACTAATCTCATGTACTCATACACATATACTCTCAATCCAAGTGCAAGACTTTTATCTAGCAACATTCTATCGCAATCATATGGCAAAATCTTTCGTCTTGGTAATAGTTTCCTGGCACTTTGAAAAAATGGCGGCTTGTCTGGCAACTTCTGCAAGCCTGCCAATGACCTGCCCATTGGCCGTTGTGAACCCATAGTACGCGTAGGGGATGTCGACTTCTTTGCAAAACTCAATGACAAGCTTCTGCGCGTCGCGGAAGTTGTGCCGCGGCAAACGGGGGAATAAGTGATGGATGGCTTGAAACTGCAGGCCTCCGTGAACAAAGTCGAGCCAGCGAGGACAATCAACGTCCATCGTCGTTCTCAGCATCATCTGCGGGAAAGACTCCTGAGGGCCCAGGTCGGCGGTGCTCATGGCAAAGTGTGACAGCACAATCTGCACATGCAGAGGAGAGGCTGCAACGTGGCTCACCATCAAAAAGACAAAGCGCGACCAGCCATCAGGTATCGACTTGTACAGAATTCCATAGCCGAACCAGATCCAGAAAAACACCTGACCTGTTAGCTCGAGCCAGCGCTGGTATGCAGCCTGGCCCTTGCGAGGCCCCCTTCCGTTAATGATATAATCCCAAGACAGGACGTAGAGGTTGAAACGACCAAGAGCCAAGAAGGGATAGTAGGTCCACGGCTGAATGCGCAAGAGGATTTTTGCAGCAGCATCATACGTCATAACTCGTTCGTAAAAGGTAGACCTCAGGGATCCCAGTAAGCGGTGAGAAACGGCAAAGAGGGGCATATGTTCGATGTCGGGATCGTGCTCAGGAGCATTTGTCACGATGTGGTGAACGTTGTGGTTGTGCTTCCACCAACCTAGGGAGAGGCCACCGACGAAATCGGCGATGAAGATGCCAATGGTCGTATCAATGTAATAGTTGTGCGTAATGCCCATGTGGCCAGCATCGTGAGCTGTGAAGACGAGCTGATGCCACAAGAAACCAAGGGATAGGGCACTGATGATATAGTAACCATAGGAAAGAGCAATCAGCATCGAAGCAAACAGGGAAAAATAACGAAGGCATTCCCAGGCGTATGCCGAATAGTTTGTCTTGTAGAGGCCGGCATCGATAATTTTCTGATGCAGCTCGCGGTATTTGGCAACGATGTGAGCTTGCGTGGCCTCGTCAACAGCGGGATATTTTTCCAGGTCAAGCGAGATGTACTCGCGGGTGATTACGTCTAAATAAGACATGCCATCCAGCGGCGCCTTGTCCGTAGTTGACTCGGACGAGAAGGACCCCGACCTCGCTGCTTCGTGTCCCGAAGCATTCTTTCGATCACGCAGCGACCCCGAGTCAATGTCAAACACAGGTGAGGGTGCCCGGGAGCTTGCCGGGCTGATATCCTCTCCTGTTGATATGTCATGGACGCCTTTGCTACGATCCGATTCAATTTCTTCCATTGTTCGAAAGATACCGCCCTGGATAGGCGGCCGGAAGTTTAGCCAAGAGCCCTCAATTCTGCCAATGCGGTACTTGGCCATTCTTTCCTTTGCGTCCTGTGAGTGTATGCTAGAGATTGAAACAAAGGAGCGTTAGCAATTCGTCCAGCACATGCATCGTCGTCCCGGTGAAGCAGTCAACCTACACTTCAACCCAGTCCGTGGCATCTCTGCCCACCATATGCATGATGGCCTTGGGGCCTCCCGGGTGATATTGGAGCCAGCCATCAAGCCGCAAGACATATCCGCCGTGAATAATGATGTGTCGTCCGCTAGCAATCATGGCCTCAATTTCATCGCGGGTCATGAGGGGTAGAACCCTCTTTCCGCCAACATCCTGCGCCGGCTGGCGAGAAGAATCATCAGAGGCCGGCATAGTGCGAACACATGACAATCGCAACGGGGAACCGAGAAAACAGATCAAAAGAAAAATGCCAGGCAGATTGTGTGGGAAAGAAGACGGTTGAGCCAGAAACCGACGTTGTTGAGAATTCACCGCTTAAAGTCACGGAAGCCGCACGTATCGAATGATTTTGGTAGAGGAACGGAGTAGTGAGGCGAGGTACAAGCACATATTTACAGACAGATGCCGCCACCAAGGTATCCGTTAAACTGCGAGTAGTACTAACCCGCTATTTATAGCCCGTTCCGTATTAGCTAAGTGAAACACAACCAAGGTGAATACTGGATTGATGCTAGTGGGGGGAAGCTAATAGCTAAAGCCAAGGAGGCGTAATAGAGCTGCAGCTAGGTAGAGGAATACGCATGCAAAAAGACCATACTAAATAAATCGAATATTAGACATTAAAGAGACGCCAATTGCAAAAGAAAAACCAGCATTTTACAACAAAAACATTTGACAGATTATACAAGGAAGTGGTAAAGGAAATATTATGTTTGAATTACTAGATCCACATGAGATTTCGAGACAAAAACGTTCAACTTTTTAACCACGATTCAATATCAAACTCCATATCATACATCACTTGCAACCAAAGAGACCAACTGGAATGGTAAACGTTTTAACGAAGTGCATTTGAAAAAAACCCTAATTGATTCATGATCATAGCCGTGGGGGATTAATGTACAACCCAGACGTACAAAAGCAACCGTAAACCTTATCCCTTGACCCCTTTATGACAACCAAAACGACCTCGAAAGAAAGCACAAACGACCAACGGAAAAATTACAATTCTTGGCTAGAACCCTTGCCAGTCTTGCCAGTCGTCTTCTTGGGGAGGAGGTCTGTACAGGAGTCAGTAACCATTTACTTCTTGTTGTGGTTCCGGATGGCTTACTCTGGTGGATGTTGGGCAGAACACCACCCTGTGCGATGGTGACGTGTCCCAGCAGCTTGTTCAACTCCTCATCGTTTCGGATGGCGAGCTGGAGGTGACGAGGGATGATACGGGTCTTCTTGTTGTCACGAGCGGCGTTGCCAGCCAACTCGAGGATTTCGGCAGCGAGGTACTCGAGAACGGCAGCGAGGTAGACGGGAGCACCGGCACCGACACGCTGAGCGTAGTTGCCCTTTCGGAGAAGACGGTGGACACGACCAACGGGGAACGCAAGACCCGCCTTGGAGGATCGGCTGGAATAGAGTCAGGTTTGCGTGTTCAAGTGATGAATTGTTTTGATCTTGCTTGGATCAGAACGCGTGTACCGCGTCGGGCTACTTACGATTGAGCGTTCTTGGAGCCAGAGGCCTTGCCGCCAGATTTGCCGCCGCCAGTCATTTTGAAGTTGGTTTTTGGGTTAACGAAAAATTACTCGAAAGTAGATGCAAGGTGCGAGATGCGGCAAATGTCGGAATGGTAAACGTGCAGCGTGGATAGTTGAGAGACAGTGTAAATGGAGAGGTTTGAGTTCGGCGGGGGGAATCTACGTTAAGTAGTTTTTGGTGCTCAGCGCGCGAGATCACCAATCACCCTCCCTCTGTAGCCGCAAATGCGCTAGTCCCGTTTGGGAAAATAGACGTGTCCCAAGGAAAACAATGCGACAATCAACTGGAACTGCGGGGGGGTGTACAAAGTACATCGAGTACCACTGCCAAGCTGGGTCCAGGCAGAGATGCAGCTAATGCTGGCTCCAGGTACCTAGGCGGTACATGACTTCGTAGCCCGGCACTCAACATCCTCTCCTTGCGATCTCTGCCCCATCTCAGAGCTGCTCGTGTTGTGTGAGCCTCAACGTTAATTCCTTGGGGGCTGGGTGGTCTCTTCTCGTCATGCTGATGCTAACCCTCTACATTATTGACAAAGGCACTTTTGTACCTGTACAGAGTGTACCTTATGAGGCTTCAATTGCTCTTTCTGTATAGTAGTAATATGCGTAAGGTGCTGGCACTACGCGTTGATTCGCAGCATTTACAACTCGGAAAATGCACCGCAGCAAAACCATGGATACCACTCGCTCTGGATTAAATCGCAGCCTGCTTATTGGACCAAAAATAATAATGGATAATCCTGGGCGGTACCCGGGTATTTTGCACCAGGGCTTCGTTAATCGTGCCGCTGTGGGATCTCACTCGTTTTACCTCAGGTCCATTTCTGTGTATGCAGATACAAGCAGTGCAGTGTATGGAGACGTGATTTGGCTTACATGTCCCTTGCTTTTGATGTGGCTGGTTAATATTGGCTAGAGCAAATGGTCTGTGCCTAGCTTTGATCCTAAACACGTATGTGGTCTACTTGTACTATGTTACCTTTGATGATTGCTGTGTTGTAATGGTGTTGTCTCGAGATTGCTTTGTTACTACTAGTATGTGAAAAGATGATTATAAGGACTTGTGAGCGTCTCACTACCTCACTCTACCTCATGGCTTGCATCATATGCGCACATGAAAACTACATAGAAACAATCACTGAAAAATACATGCAACAGCACCAATAATGGAGTAGACAATGGTGCAACTGCTGGAATCACTGCGGTTATAGGGTAGGCAGGGCTGAGGAAAAGTGAGGCTATCCAGGCTCTCGAGCTAGGAGGCGGTATGTACCAGGGCGCGTTCAGGTAGAACACTCCGGCGCGCAAGGAAAAGGGCGGGAGGTACATGCGCCTGTGAGATCAGAGAACAAAAGGTACATCCGTCCTCAGCTGGAAGGGGGGCTGGTGGGGAGACAAGCTTGCATCGATAAAAAAGGCTGGGCCCAGCCAATCACATGTATCTGAACAAAAGAAATGGCAGCGAAAAAAAAACAACAAAAAATGTTAGACGCGACTAGACTTATGGAGCGAGCAAGGCAATCGCATCTGGTGCAGGGACTCGAGCCCCGTTGAGAAATGCGTGATAATCAAGTTGCGCCATGCCGAGAAATGCTTAGCGCGGCATAACTGGAGCACAAGCAGTGACTTTGTGAATACATGGTACTTTGCAGCGAACCTTTTTTTTTTTCGGGCCTACCAGCAGACACCCTTTTTCGCAGCCAGCAGTTTTACCGCACTTTTGCAGCTACGAGGGCGTGCACGCGCCTTCGCTCGCGCCACCCCTACTTGCTTCCCCCAAGCAAATCAGTAATCCACTTGCACCAACGCGTCCAGCTACAAAAGCCCAGCTCATCCCCAAACGTCTTTCTCGCACCATTCACTTTCATCATCACCCGCTGCCAGCCCGCCCTTTTGCCATTTTGATTATCAACACTTGAAATCTACATCGATTGCATCAACTTAATCCAAAATGCCTCCCAAAGCTGCCGACAAGAAGCCCGCCGCCAAGGCCCCCTCAACCGCCAGCAAGGCTCCCGAGAAGAAGGACGCTGGCAAGAAGACCGCCGCTTCTGGCGAGAAGAAGAAGCGGTCAAAGACTCGCAAGGAGACTTACAGCTCCTACATCTACAAGGGTTTGTCAACACTGGATTTTTTCCGCTTCCTTTTCTATTGCATTTGATTCTAACTTTTGGTACACAGTCCTCAAGCAGGTCCACCCTGACACCGGTATTTCCAACCGTGCCATGTCCATCCTCAACTCGTTCGTCAACGGTAAGCTTTTCCCTCACATTCACCTTTCTTTTCCGATCCATTACAATCATACTGACTTGAATAGATATCTTCGAGCGCGTTGCCACCGAGGCCTCCAAGCTGGCTGCCTACAACAAGAAGTCCACAATCTCTTCCCGAGAGATCCAGACATCTGTCCGGTTGATCCTGCCAGGTGAATTGGCCAAGCACGCCGTCTCTGAGGGCACCAAGGCCGTCACCAAGTACTCTTCATCCACGAAATGAAAAGGATCATGTTGGCTGGTTCTGATTTCAAATCTGAAAACTTGGGTTTTTGTTTGCGTGACTTTAGTGTCTTTACTCGAGACGATGGGTGACTGTGTTTCGCCTTTGGGATCTCTTAATGCGTTACGGATGGTTTGCTTTATGGGGGCAATGTCTTCACGGTCAATGGGGTTCGCGGTTGTACAATAGCTATCGAGGATATCTCGAAGCAATGGTTTCTGCACATTATGCTATTTTATTTTCCTCTGCATCAACAATTACAGAATCTCCTAAACTGTCCATGTGTTCTACCCCTGCCCGAGACCCGCGCGGCTTCGTTTCATCGTTTGACTCACAGGCTGCAGTATACCTTGATTATCACTAGCGCCCAAAGGTGTTCCAGTGCTCCAACCCATTTTCTCAAGCATAGTTCGACCCCGATTTCCACTTCCCAGCTCTGGCGCAGACGCACCGATGACCTCACCATCCCGGTAGCTGGTCCCGGCATCATTTCGTCCTGACGGCTTCTGTCGACTTTGTTTGGACGTTTGAGAGGGCCGTGAATATTGTCGTTTAATTCGCATGACAGCCTGCTCAAAAGCGGCTTCCTTATATGTCGTTTTCTTCGTTCGGTAGAGGATTGGTCTACGCTGCTCGCCAGCCCCAACCGACTTGGATTTAATATCGAATTTGTTTGCCAAATCGTGCACCATTTTTCTTGTTCGTTTATCCATCGGTGGCAGATTCAGACTAGGAAACAGTCAGTAAGATGAACGTTTTGATAGTGCTACGGTATACGTGCGTTTCTTGAGATCCAATGAGGAATAGTTTAACCTCCTCTGCAACTTGGCTCATGGTTATGCCTGTTGAGTATTTTGCTCGCAGGTCAACCTGGCCCTTCTTGCCAAGCAATCCCATCGCTCGCAACTCCTCCCTCTCCTTCTTCCTCTGAGCCTTTTTGAGCCGATCATTGTTGAATGCAGATTGAAGTTGCTCCTCAAGGTCAGAGTCTATGTCATCCCCGAGCAACTGCAGGCGCCTCCCCTTGCCCTTTTTACGTCGCAGACTGGGCCGTTCCCAGTCCATGAAATCGAAACCAGCTTGCTCCTCGAGATCATCAAGATCAGGAGAATCTTCTGATTCGGAATCAACTTCAACTTCCTTGGCGATTTCTGGACCTGAAGGTGCTGGTGGAGGAACTTCGGCATCATCATCTGTTGATTCATTATCTGAATCACCATCAATTCCCATTCCCTCAAACATTTCGCCATTCTCGCGCATGTTGGCGATGTAATCGGCGATCCAAGCGTCTTCTTCGTCCTTCTCCCGATTCCGCCGCCTGCGTGATTTGTCTTGTTTCTTTGTTGGCCATAGCAGATCGTCGGAATCGTCATCTTCTAGTGTAGTACGGACTTGAGGCCCCCTGACTGCAACCGAGATCTGCTTCTCCACTGCATGGATCTCAGTTCTCATAGATGTAAGTGTGATGCTGGGAGCCTCCGCCTTTGCTTTCATGGCGTTTCGGCCTTTGAACACAATGATTTCATCGCTGGAGGTGTCGTCTTGAGATGCTGAATCCCCATTAATCTCTTCTTCGGTTGCCTTGTGTGGAAGCGTCTCTTCTTCAGGTGCTGTCTCTTCAGGTGTTATCTCCGCAGGTATCGTATGTTCGGGTATTGGTTCTTTAGGTACTGATACTTCAGTAATCGCTTCTTCAAGTGTTATTTCTTCAGATGTTGTTTCTTCAGGCGCTGTTCCATCAATTATTGTTTCTTCAGGTGTAATTTCTTCAGGTACAGTCTCTTCAGTTGCTGCTTCGACATGGGTTGTTTGTACAGGTGATAGGTCTTCGTCTATCGTCTCAGATATTGCTTCTACAGGAGCTTCTTGTTGCGGTGGGATGTCTTTGACCATCGGGTCTTCGGGGTTTGAATTGCTTTGGGCAGCATCCTTTGCAATCTCTGCTTCTTTCTGTAGTTCGAGCAAAGGGTCGTGAGTGCCCGAACTGACGAAGGTGACGGGTCTCTTCCGAAGCTGCGTGTTACTGCTCCAGAACGAGTTATCATGATGAGAGGACTGTCGGGCTTCGTCAAGTAGTGTGAAAGCGACTGTTATAAAGACACAAGTCAGTTATGTGCCTCAATGCCCTTATCAGATGTCTCGAAGGAAGCTACCGTTCTGTGCCGTGGTTGCAATATAAGGGTTGCCGAAGTTGCCTCTTTGACGAGGCGACTGGTTCCAACCACCCCTCTGTTTCCCACCGCGACCACGACCACGCCCCCCCCTCATATTGATTTGTATCTGTGTTGTGAAGGCCGGTGCCAACGATTTGCATGGCACAATCACCAAAAGCGATGCTGGAGGTCTGTTGAAACCATACCCCGGTAGATGGATATAGGCAGGCTAAAGTACAGCCAGCTGTGGAAGAGGAATCGCGCTGCCTTCCGAGGCTAGTGTGACTCTTTTTCGAGGTGGGGCGCTTATTACATAATCTGTTTCGTCCAATAGTCTGCAAGGTAATTGGCTTTTGCCTTAATTATCACTGGTATCTCGCCCTTTTTGGGGGGTTTTCTTAATCAGGATAAACAGGCCTGATAGCGGATGGCTTTTCAGGTGATGGATGACTTTTCAGAAACTCGATTCTATTCTAGAGTAAAGTTCAATTAAGTCGTACTCTGCTGTTCTTTTGAAAGCATTCTCGTTGCGAAGGCATATGATTGTACCGACATCTAGTCTGAATATTGCCATATTTGGACTAGACCGGCATGACTAGCGTGGTGCTCTTCGCAACTTATTTCGACTTGCTTGCTGACTTGTATGATCTTGGTGGGAGGGTCAATAGACAGCGTCAACAACGATCCCGAATTGGCCAGCTCAAAGTCTTCACCAGCTGCTCCCTGCTGCTAATTCGGCCAACATGGTGCTCGCTCTATTCTCGCGGGGAGCTCTCCGCAGTTCCGTCGCCGCCGGCGTCAGCAGCAAACGATCCCTATCCGATGTAGCAATCACACGCACTGGCAAAACTATTCTACGAACAGAGGGCGGCCGGTAAGCAACGCACGCAACCGATATGGAGGCAAGCCAATTAACATCATCCTACAGGTCTTCTCTCGGAGGTACGATCGCAATATTCGACGCTTGAGGTTCGAGGTTAGGGGGCTAACAGCCCGGACAGGACATACCGCGACAGTCTTCGGTGCGACGGGTCAATTGGGTCGGTACATTGTGAACCGCCTCGGTATGTTCAACGAATTGAAGCGCATGAGTGTTTGATACGGCTCTAACTCTCTATATCTAGCCCGTCAAGGATGCACCGTTGTCGTCCCTTTCCGCGAAGAAATGACAAAGCGACACCTGAAACTCACTGGTGACCTCGGCCGCGTTATTTTTGTTGTAGGCTTGTCACAGACGAATTGGATAAATTGGACGAGTTAATTCTGATGCACTCGCAGGAGTACGACCTTCGCAACACCGCTTCTATTGAAGCAAGTGTGAGGCACTCGGATGTCGTGTACAACCTCGTTGGCCGGGACTATCCTACCAAGTACGAATGACCAAGACCAACACGTCTATCTCGACGACATACTAAGTTGTGATAGGAATTTTACCCTTGAGGATGTGCATGTGGAAGGAACAGAGCGCATCGCCGAGGCTGTCGCAAAGTACGACGTTGATCGTTATATTCACGTTTCGTCTCACAACGCCGATGTCAACTCACCCTCTGAATTCTTCGCGACAAAGGTATGCGCAAACATCCAACCGTGAAAGGGTAGAACTAACTTGCGCAACCTTAGGGACGTGGAGAGATTGTTGCCAGAAACATCTTCCCTGAGGCTACCATTGTGCGACCGGCACCCGTCTTCGGATTTGAGGATAGCCTTCTGCTGAAGCTTGCTTCCGTACTGAACCTATTTACAGCCAACAACATGCAGGAGAAATTCTGGCCAGTCCACGTAGGTGTCTGTAGATAGACATGCTTAACAGCTACGCTGACATACTCACAGTCTATCGACGTCGGTGCCGCTCTGGAGAAGATGCTGTATGACGACTCAACGGCCGGCAAGACTTTCGAGCTCTATGGACCCAAGCAGTACAGCTTGGCAGAGATTGCAGCTTTGGTGGACAAGGAAATCTTCAAGAAGCGACGACACATCAATGTGCCCAAAGCTATCCTAAAACCGGCGGCCAAGGTTCTGAACGACGTTCTGTGGTGGCACACCCTCTCTGCGGATGAAGTGGAGAGAGAATTCATTGACCAGGTCATCGACCCTGAAGCTAGCACATTCAAAGATCTTGGTATCGAACCGGGTGACATTGCCAACTTTACCTACCACTATCTGGTAAGTGATGTGTACTCCGAAGCTTGTTACGTGGCCGCTCAGCCGTCTAATTTCCTCTATAGCAAGGATTCCGAAGCTCTAATTACTACGACCTCCCCCCTGCCACGGAGAAGGAAAAGAAGGAAGACAAGAAGTACATCCATGTTTTGGACGAGCTATAAACACAGCGCATTTGTATATCTACGAGGGATAGTACGGTATATAATACTATTAGAAACAAGAAAAACAGATGCTGTGGATGTGCCTACTTGGCTCTCTTTGTTTTCAATTGATAGTATTTACATAATTAAAGAAGACAAAAAACAAAACAGTTTACCATACAAATTAACATGACCCTTGACAGCCGGGTCGGAGCTGACTTAAAAAACTACCTAGTAGTATAAGCATATGCTAAATTTACCTAATCCGACCTACCTGGCTGTTTCAAATACGTAGTGCCGCCTTACTCTATTATTCTCCGCATTCAAGTTGATCCCTCTACAGTATACGACATTCTTTTCCGCCGTGGGAGCCGGCTCATTCGTTCATCCCGCATTGAAACTGCGCCCGACTCTCCGAATTGCACTGCACATGAGGCCTCCAACAAGGCAGTGCTTGAGCTTGGAAGTCAACATTTCCAGAGCATCGCGGTTTTTCGCACTAGTATCGCCTGGGTCTCGGACATTCCCCACGTCGAGCAGATCGACTTCCGTCTCGTCCATTTCAATCGGCTGTCGCGCCTTCAGATCGCAAGCACGTGAGGTCAATAAGCAAGTGACTACCAACACTTACATCTGCGACCAACCCGCTCCGGCATCTTCGCTCGACGGACATCCTAGAGCCCAGCGCAGCATCATATATTCGCCGCTGCGCAAGCCGATCCGGACCAGCCGCCACCTTGATCTTCATAGCAGCGTCACATATACCACCGGCGCCGCAATCGTTTTCGCCGTCATCGCCATTTCCTGCCTTGCGACAGCCAACTTGCCCGAGCATCCAACAACTACTGCGACTCCGGAAGACATTGCGATCGCTTCCTCGCCATCCCACAGCATGCCGGACCAAATCGCACCGGGGCACGTGGGCAACCTCACCCCAGAGCAGGAAGAGAAGCTGCGCCAATTGTGGCAGGCCTTCTTCCAGCTCTGTGGCGTCCTTGAGGACAATGGCTCTGCCAGCACGGACGCGGCAGCCCGTGGAAAAGCAGAACCGGCAGAAGCAGAGAAGAAGAGGCGATTTGGCGTCTTCAAGAGGAAGGGAAACGAAAAGTCCGCCTCAGCGAGCGAGGCTACCGAGGACGACAAATATGGCCAGAACAAACACTTCCAAGAGGTTCTTGCGACTAACAGCCCCGAGGCCATTCGCGAGACGTTTTGGAGCATGGTGAAGCATGACCACCCAGATGCCCTCGCCCTGCGCTTCCTCCGAGCCCGCAAGTGGGATGTGGACAAGGCCCTGGTCATGTTGGTGTCCACCATGAGCTGGCGACACAGCGACATGAAGGTGGACCTTGACATCATGGCGAATGGCGAGGAGGGAGCCGTTGTCGATGCGCGGGAGGGCGAGAAAGATGCCAAGAAGGTTGGCGAGGACTTCTTGGCGCAGCTTCGTATGGGTAAAAGCTTCTTGCATGGTGTGGATAAGCAGGGCCGACCAATTTGTGTGGTCAGAGTCCGCCTCCATCGTCAAGGCGAGCAGTGCGAAGAGAGTCTGGAACGATATACCGTTTTCCTAATCGAAACGGCGAGAATGGTGTTGAGACCACCTGTTGATACAGCAGTACGTCACCCTTTATCAAGATTGACTACTCGAGGTTGAGGATGTTACTGACCGCACTATTAGACCATCATCTTCGACATGACTGGATTTTCCATGGCAAATATGGACTACACTCCCGTCAAGTTTATGATTAAGTGCTTCGAAGCCAACTATCCCGAATCTCTTGGAGCTGTGCTTGTTCACAACGCACCGTGGATCTTTCAAGGTAAGAAGAAAAGACTGCTTATTGAAGAGGGAGAACAACTACTGACGCTGGCGTTAGGAATCTGGAAGATCATTCGCGGCTGGCTGGATCCGGTGGTGGCGGCCAAGGTTCATTTCACGAATAATAAGGGCGACTTGCAGGAATTCATTGAACCCTCGCATATCCTCAAGGAACTTGGCGGTGACGAAGACTGGGAATTCAAATATGTGGAGCCCGTCGCTGGCGAAAATGACCTGATGAAGGATGTCGACACCAAGGCAAAGCTTCTCGCGGACAGGGGAAAGCTTGTCAAGGAGTACGAGGACGCGACTCTGCAGTGGATACACAAGGAAGGCGGAAGCAAAGAAGTCATGGCAAAGAGGGACGGATTGGCAACACAGCTCAAGGAAGACTATTGGAGACTCGACCCATATCTGCGCGCGCGCTGTCTCTACGACAGACAGGGGATATTACAGGGCATTGCTGGGGCGAACTGGTATGAACCGGCAAGGGCAGCGACTGCTGACGGGAATGGGAATCCAGACACGTCAATCAACGATGTAGATTAAGAAAACGGCCATGCACCAGGAAAACTTTGGATAGATCGGGGTCCTGCGGGTTCTATGGAGGATAGACATATATAATATTTTCATTGTCTGCGTACCTCGCGTAAATCATACCATCCTAATATCGCTGGCAGGCAGACCTGTGATATCAAATAGCGAAACTTACATCTTGGCCTTGATATCCTCGCAGAGAGCTTTGAGATTCTCCATATCGCCGCTAGTCGCGGGCCAGGTGATGCCCAGGCCTTCAGTTTCATTGGGCTTTGGAATCTATTCAGAGAGCATTAGTTAGAGTCAAAGGCCGGCGCGTTCGACTGATCAAGGGTAGTGGTCATACCATGTGGAAGTGGACCTGTGGCAGTCAATGTCAGCTTGTCATTCACTCAGCATATCATAGTCCTAGTAACATGTGAAACTTACATGATGCACTTCCTGGTGGGCAATGGTTCCGTTGTTTTGAAGGATGTTGTAATCGGTGGCCCCAGTAGCCGTCACCAACTTCTTGAGAGTAGGCTGAATAAAGCAAACATATGGTTAGCATATATATATATATATATATATATATATATATATATATATATATATATAAATGAAGCAACTAAAAGGTGTGTTACCAGAATCTCGGACAGCTGATCATCGGGAATATCAGCCAGCTTTGCACCATGATACTTCGGGATGACAAGCTAGATGAGTGACACAGTGTCAGTAGTCTGCCAGTGAGCTCAATGAGCAGGACGAGGTTTACAGCATGGCCCTTGCTAAGGGGCCCGATATCGAGGAAAGCAAGCGTCTTTTCGCTCTCAAAGAGCTTCAGAGCCGGGATCTCTCCTGGTGCAAGATGCTGTTAGTTCTGTAAGAGCGGGAGGGGTAGCTTGTCTTAGTAGTGGCGATTTGACATTTTAGCCTCGTCAAACTCACCCTTGATAATGCGGCAGAATATACAAGACATGATCGCTTCTATGTGGGTGGGAATTGGTGGTGAAGAGGACAAGCTATAAGTTGGGTATGGAAGATGAGCCTGACGGTGGCAGTAGGTAGTGGAGAGGATTGACTTGAGGGTAGTGACAAGATATGAAGAGGGGCTTGTGTACGCTTATTACATCACTGCGAATATGGGATTATATAGCGGGTAATGTAAAATAAATTGAATATCGAATTAAAATCGCTGCTACCAATGCAATTCACCACACTGACATTATCGATGTTTCCCCCCCCGTGTAGGCCGTTGAACTCATTCCTCTGTTCACTCTTATCTCTCTTATACGAATCAAGTAGCTCACCTTTACCAGACGTGCGCTTGAATTCCCTACCCCAGATTACATACGCATGGCGATTGGATGAAAACAGGCGTGGTTGCCAGAATAAACGCATTATTTTTTACTATATACCCATGATCTAATTTTGGCGCAAGCAAAGTCCTCAATGCCCATTTGCGTGGTGAGGGGGAGCTATCAAATATTAGCAGTCGAAACAGGCGCAAGGTGTGCATTCGCTCACGGTCTAAGATCGGAGATGGTAGGTTTCGCTCAAATTTGGATCCTGCTCAATTAGCCTTTTGTTTTTATTTCGTATGCGCGATTGTATGTGTCGTCTCACCTCCAGGTGCGCATGGCGGAACGTATGGGTCGGGGTGTTTCCAGCTTTCGAGTAACTTTTCTGTCTCCGCTAACAGGGCCTTGAAGAGAATTAATGGTGACCCCCAAAGAAGCGCGGGTAGAGTTGACTAACTCTCTGTTGCCGAGGATCTGTGACCTTCTTGTTGGCCTCAAACAAGGATCGAATGTAGAGCGCCTGACCTCGCCATAGGTGACGATGGACGGCCCAGTCCAGCGCAAGCTTCAATGAGCGACGGTATAGTGACCTAGAAATTGGGCATTATCGGTTAGAATCGAGTACATCGACGGTCGCAGGCTTGATTGATGTAGGTACTGACAGGGCAGCTTGTCGCGTCGTCATGTTGGCTAGATGGTGGTCCTGGCGAAAAGACCGTGGTTTGAATTGGCAGTAGATCTCTCGGAGGTTGACGGTTGGTACACAGAAGTGAAATTGTCTGCCTTACGCCAGACTCACATTCTAAGGCAACAACCCAGCGGTTAGCCGGCCACGCCTGTAGCCTCTTGTTAAAATACGTAGCGTTAATCCTATTCGGGGAGTTTCTTCAGAACTACATAAGAGTTATTTTTTCTAAGATATCGATTTAAAGTTTTGTTATATCATATAGGTGAATTATTTATGTATTTTATAAATTTAATAAACAAAGAACTACAACATTAAGCAGTGAACAAAAATGTGTCATTATAGGTAATTGTTTCTTTATAGAAATTTAATCTAGTTTATAGTGAGCTGTAAAAACTTTGAATTTATCTAGATAAGATTCCTGCTTATATAAGTTATTTTATGTAAACTTTTCTTTGCTCGTTGCTTACATTGCGCTTGCGTCGGAACGTCGCGATTTAGTAGTGCATTGAGATTTACCTGATCTCTGTCTTAGTACCTGCCACCTACTAAACTCCCTAGGTGCAGTAGTTGTGCAGTCTACCAAGTGCCGGATACTTGGGGGACTGATTCAACTGGCGCACGAGCAGCGATGCCGAGTATCCAAGGCTTCAATACCTTGAGGGCAAGATCATACATCCTTCGCTTACCTTTGTTTACCCGTGCTATCCTACTGGCGATAATATGCTTCTGGCTGGCTAGCTTACCGGGCTACTGGGATGTGAGGCTCTGGGGCTCTCTGATCCCAGACAAGATCTCCTTCGCAACAGGTAATTAATGTGCTCTGGAAGCTGGGTTGACTGTGTATGACCTGACTCGACCGTAGGATACCGGTTGAATACATTCCCTCTTATCCATCTCAACCTCCTCCATGCAGTTCTCAATGCTGTTGCGTTGACGCCATTGATGGAACGATTCGAAAGCGAATATGGAACATTGACTACGTTGGCACTTTTCTTTGGACGTAGGACTACCATTTCCAGCCCAATCTTTATGCCATTGGTCTAACGGAAGCAGCTCTGACTACGATTCCTGCCGTCTTGTATCTCTTCATTGAGATTGCCATTCTCCGAGCCAACCATGCTGTCATGGGCGCCAGGTAAAATTACCCAAACAATGCTCGTGATTAGCGAGATGGGTTCGTTTTTACTAACTTCGTCTCGGTAGCATGTGGGTGTTTTTGCTGTTGGGCATGGAGGCGATCCGAACGTATAAATCGAACCCATATCTGGTGATTGGGACATATCAACTCCCTACCTGGACCACGCCCCTACTCATGATAGTGGTTGTTGCCGCGCTGCTGCCAAGCACCAGTTTGTTGGGCCATCTTTGCGGCGTTGGCGTTGGTTATATCGGTATGGTCTCCAATTTTGTACATGAACCGTGGATCTTACAGCTAACAACTGCTTTGTAGCTGGCCTTGGCTACGTAAAGTTGCTCGCACCTCCCGAGTGGGCACTTCGATGGATCGAGTCTCGCCTGAACCTCCTGGCCATCTTGCCGCACTATGTCAGCGTTGACCAAAAGACATATGGTAGATTTGGCGTCTTGCCCTCGACCAATCGCCCTGTAGGGGGCGCACCGACAGAGTTAGTAGGCGTGGGTGCTTGATATATGAGCGGCTTTATACGACGCAGCCATTTGGATGCGTATTACACGGTGTTGACGTTCGATTACTTTGCAAAGCTGACCGTCAGTCAGAACAAAATGGAGTGTTGTCATGGGTAAAGCATGGAATGACAGGTAATTCGTGGCTCAGACGTTGATTATACATGACATATAGTTATGAAGGATAACTCGGAGCCATTGCGAACATACGCTGTCTGATAAGAAATAGAAGGCAGAATTCAATTGCTCCCATAAGCGTTCGGTGAATCCATCAATGAGCCACATTGTAATGCGTCAGTTCAGGTGGGGCCATGCGTTACGTGTGAAGCGGTACTAAGAACTCCGTACCGTAAAACTAAAAAAATGCGCTTGGAAGGGAAGGGGAAGACCCATCAAATAATTCCGGGACGTGCCTGTCGCATGTCACTTTAGTTCTATGCACATGGTCTACTTCAAAGAATCAAGTCCTGGCTTCTCTCCTTCTACGATTCAGACATCACCGCTCTCCGAAGAGGACAACCGCCTTGAAATCGACCCACTGCCCATCTGGGACTTCGGCTCTGCTTCTATGCAATGCTCAGCAACAGAGATAGCACCGCCCTTCAGAAAACCTATGATTCAAGTTACCTCAGTTGTTCAACGGCTGTGTATTATGAAGGCCAGGTAAAGCGATGATGGACCGTCTCGTCACATTTTCACATGCTATCTTCAACTATTTCCCGGGCTGACACCTTTTTTCCCTTTAGGGCGATGAGAGCGAGGCTACTCGACACTGGAAGGCCGCACTTCGACGCATAAATGAATACTACGCGTCGACAAGCGCACCGAGAGTCTCCGAAACATACACCGATACGGATGCTGCCTTGATAGACGCGGTGAAAGAACTAGAGCTACAATGCAAAGAAAGAATTGATCTTTTAGAAGCGCTGAAGCTGTCCCGGCAAGAGGGCGTCGCTCCGACGTATCGTGACAACAATACCGCACAAGCCACTGGCAGCTCCAGCCAGGGATCGGGGACCATAGGGCAAGGCACCATCCCTGCGGTAACATATTCAGAGCTTTCACGTCCTTCGTTCTCGTCGAGAAATTCACTTGAGGCAATGACGTCATCTGAAGAAGCGATTAGGAGGATCCATAGCACCCCTGCCGATTCAACACAGCGAGTTGCCTACTCGCTTCCCAGTTCGAGAACCCCAGATTTGCCCGATATGCGAAGCGACAAGGCGGCCCGAGCCCCAAGCCCGGAGAAGCGCACTATGAGGACTACGCTGCGATCCAAGAAGACTGGCGATCGATCATCTACTCCTCGTAAACTGAACAGGCCTGCAGCGGACGGGCCAAGCAAGGCCGCGACCATTGCGTGGAGCACGTCCGGATCCCGAGACAACTTCCTAAGTCCCTTTTCTACTGAAGGACGGCCATCAAAATCGAGCCCTACTCCGCGTCAGTCCCTGGATCGCAATACCCCCGGTTCGCAGAAATCAACGATATCATATGACACGAGGTCTCCGCGTACTTCGCCTCAAAAATGGAATATGGTTCCTTTGTCCGATGAATCTCGTCTTCCACAACCTTCAGTTCTGTCTATTAGCGCAGCGTCAAGTGCTCTGACATCTTCGTCCAGCCAAGAAGCCTCCGCGTCTTATCAAACTCCAAATAAACCAGAGCAATATGCAACCCCCCGGAAGCCCCCTGTTTTTGAAGATGTGTCAATTCAAAGTAAGAGACCGAGTGCCAAAGCTGGCACTCCCGATATATCTGGAGGACAAAGGGAATCCAGTACCTCTAGGAGTAAGAGGATAGTTATGGACAGTCCGCTTTTGTATAAATACGACACAGAACGAGTGGATCGGTTCCGGGACGATGCAAGACGACCATCTTCCGAGTTTGCCACTCTGAATCAAGTTGACAGCCGCTCAAGTGAAGAGGTTGTCGAGGGTACAGCATGGGGAGCTAAAAACGATAAAACGCCCAAGAAAGTGACCAAGGCAGCCATTCTCAAGAATCTGCCGCCCGGCATAGACGAGAGCGCCGCAAAGCAAATTTTTAACGATATTGTTGTACAAGGAGACGAGGTTCACTGGAGCGATATTGCGGGCCTGGAGGTTGCGAAGAATTCTTTGCGGGAAACCGTGGTATATCCATTCCTACGCCCTGACCTGTTTATGGGCCTACGCGAGCCGGCTCGCGGAATGCTTCTATTTGGACCGCCGGGAACTGGAAAGACGATGCTGGCTCGCGCAGTAGCCACCGAATCTAAATCCACGTTCTTCTCCATATCTGCCAGCAGCCTAACAAGCAAATACCTGGGAGAGTCAGAGAAGCTAGTGAGAGCGCTGTTCGGTCTCGCCAAAGCGCTTGCTCCTAGTATCATATTCGTCGATGAAATCGATTCACTGCTATCTCATCGATCGGATGCTGGCGAGCATGAGGCGACCAGGAGGATCAAGACAGAATTCCTTATCCAGTGGAGTGAGCTCCAACGAGCCGCAGCCGGCCGAGAGGCGGATAGCAAAACGAGTACGCGGAACGATGCTCAAAGAGTCTTGGTATTGGCTGCAACGAATCTACCTTGGGCAATTGATGAGGCCGCTCGGCGACGGTTTGTGCGGCGACAGTATATTCCATTACCGGAGCCCAAGACGCGGGAGACACAACTGAGGACATTACTACGACAACAAAACCACAGTCTGTCAGACGCAGATGTAGAGCAACTTGTACAATTAACCACTGGTAAGCACGCTTTCCCTCTTGACCCCCGATTGGGTCCACAGTCACTTAACTGCCTGACAGGATTTTCTGGATCCGACATTACAGCTCTTGCCAAAGATGCAGCCATGGGGCCACTTAGGTCTCTAGGCGAGGCCCTTTTGTATATGACAAAGGAGCAAATACGGCCCATGGACCTTTCAGATTTTGAGCAAAGCTTGAAATCTATTCGGCCGAGCGTAGACCAACAAGGCCTGCGGGAGTACGAAGAATGGGCCGAGAAATTTGGCGAGCGTGGTGGTTAAAGCTGAACTGAGCTGGGTCGTTTACCTGCGTCCACATACAGCATCCCTTCCGCTCAGGGCAAGGTTAGCATATGCGCAAACTACGGCAGTACGCGATCGAAATATCAAGTGGCGGCTGCGGTGTGTATTGCGAGTTCTGTCAGATCGATTACGACCGACGTCCGCGAATTCATTAAGAGGCGCTATATTGCTAAACTCTTACTCGGTTGTTGCTGGAAGCAAAATATGAGCATCCCTTTGCCAATAATCTCACACAGGTGTAGCTCTGGAGCGATGCTACCCGATCTATTCATACAGCCATGTTGCGCCATGCCAACTGGAATTTTGTGATATCCGATGTCCTCTGTCCTTTGTTGCGCGTCCTCCCCATCATTCCTTCTGCTCTTCCTTGTTGTGTATTCTTCGTTCAGCCTTGACAGCTCGTTTGGCTTCTCGTTCGGCGATACGCTCCTCCAGTGAGGGAATCGGTGGTCGTTCCTCGACCGGAGTGCCATAGGGCGCAATGATGTTTTTGATAACGTGACGCTTGTGTTTGGAGGTCGGCCAGCCGGGAACAATGGAGACGACGTCGCCGGTGCGAAGTGAGGAATTGGGATCGTGCACGAGGTAGTGCTTTGGCTCTGCAAACCACTTTTGGACTCGTTAGCGGAAGGGATGAAGCGTGGTGATCGCATAATCACACACCTTGTTGATGACTTTATTCCATTTTTGACCACCGACTCGAACCTTGACAGTTTTTTGCATCAGACCTGCAGATACAACAATGCCATGCAGCTCATGAGTCACGCGCCGGGCGGCTTTGGCAACTTGTGAAGACATTTTGATATATATCGTTTAGTTTAGGTGAACAATGGTTAAATCATGCCAAACGATCATTGCTCTGAAGTCATTGCTCTGTGGACCGCAGACAATCATCATCCCACTAAAAGTTTGCGACTAGCTGGAGCATTCACACTCCAAGCCTCTTTGGGGGATTATCTGCAGGCGCTAGCCTATCGCCATTGGATGGAGGAGAGTCTGCCGAAGTTGACCCGGTATTCTAAGTGCCTCTTATCGATTAGAGTGGGAGGCATAACACTGCCAGGATTTTGATCTTATTGCCTTTTATTAGTCTGCAAGGCGTGGTGGTAGGAAGATGTGTATAGGAGGACATCAAATACTACCAGATTGCTATTCTATGAATCCAGTAGTATATACCTTCATTTTCTTGACGGATTTATTGTAGATTTATATGTGATGAAGCAGAAAAGAGAGATGGCGCTGTTTCTCTTTTGAAACAAAGTGAATCAATCATTAACACGTAAAAAGGCCTGTCCATCCAACTGCATTAATGGTTCTTGGACTCGCCAAAAAGCCCCCAGTCCTTGATGACAAAAGTTTCCCAGATGCGGGCCGCAATCTCAACAGCGTCTCCGATAAGCTTGCCCTGCTTGCCCAGCTCCAGATCAACCTCCTCGGCGTCGTACTCTCCTCTGATGTGAGGCACGTTGATGGTAATAAGAATGTCCGTGTCTTGCTCTTCAAGGCGCAGCAGAGTCATGGTGAGGGCCGTGAAGTCTGGAGCTGAGTTTTGGTCGCTGGAGTGGCCGGCGTTGGGGGTCTGCGTTGCGATGAGAGTGTATGCGGGGTGTTTCAACCTGTTTTTTTCCCCAATGTGATTTGCTTGTTAGTGAAACTGGGATACGCACAACGCAACGGCGTGAGAAGGGGGGAAAAGGGCGAGACGTTACTCTTGCATGCGCGAGAATTCAGTCTCGGCTGTGTTCCAGATCTTGACCGTGTTGATGTCGGAGCCGACCATGTCTTCCAGATGTGTGGTCATGGCGCGGCCGTCAATCTCGGGGCCGGATCCGGGGCCTCCAACGCGCTCTGTGATCTCGAAGATGATGCTGGTGAAGCCGTCCTTGTCGATCCATACTTCTTGGTTGTCGGGGACTTGTCTCAGTTTGCTATGGAGTTGTAAGTAAAGTGTATTTCTAGAATGCGCCGCAAGTTTTTTGCTGACCTGACATCTGCAAAGTGTTTGGGCAAGTCGCAGGTGATGGCTCCGCCGTAGAGGGGAGTGCTTCGGTATTTTGACATGGTGGTTGTCGTTATCGGTATCGGTGTCGGTATTGTGATATCAGAAAGAAGTTATAATTATATTCCGCCGTCTTTGGTCGTGGGTGTGTTTTGCAGGAGAATCTGAATGCGATTCCAGAAGCTTGTTCGCGCGGTTGGGGATTGGCAGGACGAGTGCTAAGCTTAATACCACAGTGGGGTAATTAGATGACATCACAAGACGCTGCATCCGCCATGCGCGTAATGCAGCGGTTCAGCCTCAGAGAGTGCCTTGTTATTCTGGATGTACAGTAGCAGTGAGCGAAGTCGGGGCTAATGCACTCCGAAATCCAGGCACTTTTGACGCCATGCCATGGCAATATATTTTACTATTTTGATGTTTAATCTTTGCCTCATATTATCATCTTTACAATAAAGTACTACTTAGTATTTCTATAAGAGCATCTGAACGGTTTAATTGAAAGTGGGCAGCAAGGGTAGTGTGAATCTAATGACTCATTTCATAGAGTCAACATCTTTGTTATGCTGCTCTTACTCCAAGCCGGTATACGGAGCATTTTATAGAGCCAATTAATTTTGCCCAATGCCAACCAACCTACTTCCAGTTCCAATCTACTTAAACCTATAACTTCAAACATTGATACCAGCTAAGCTTTTATTTTGGAATTGGCCAAGGAGAAGAGAGAGGCATTCATTCATCATTTCCATAATGCCGATAATTTCTCTCGGAGAGTCTATACCTCCAGACACTGCTCATGTAAGTTGTTTCTCGGTCTGCAACGCATACAAACATTGATGACAGCCTTGACTCACTCATGCCACCCGCAATCGAAATTTACAGGCAGTCAGTGTCTCATTGCCAACTTGGCAGGCCAATGTCGGTTATGAGGAAGGCGATGCTCAAGTTGTGGGCCGTATGGTCACTGGCTACCCTCGGTGAGTGAGATGCACCAACCTGTCTGCGTCGCGTGTAGCCTTTGCTTATTTTTCTGGATAATTAGTTTTTTCATTCACAAGAGCATTCAAGCCTTTGCCCAAGACTTTCTGACTGCCTATGGACATTCGGGTCAAAAAGAAAAGGCAATGCTGTTTGCCACGGCTGCCGCCGGTCAAAGATGTCTAGAGTTTATGCGTCAGCGCGTGGCTCCGCACATCGCCAACCAGATCTTCGTGGTTAATCTTGCCCTGGATACGTCCAAAGATCCTTCTCCATTGCTGAAGCAGCTGGCGCCGACCATTTCTGGCGTCATCTTCCCAGAGGAATCGTTCCCAGTGGCCAAGGAGTACTGGCAACATACTGGCGATGGAGTCTCAAGCCGACGGGCTGAATTCTCCCATGAACTTTTCAAACTTGGCCAGTTGATTCCAACTAATGAGCAACAGTACCATCACGCTGTCCTAGAGAAACCTGTGCGTGGCCCAAAGCGGTATTCAAAAGCCAATTCCACCGGTGGTCCCAACGCAGCTGGTTCCGAGAATAAGGCTCCTTCAACTTCCGAGAATCCGGATGAGGATCGTGAAAGTTTCCATTTCCTGGAAGAGCGTTTCGGAAGAAATCTAAATCTCACCCAAGTCGCCCGAGCAAAATCTGCTATTCGCAGAAGAATCGCAGGGTCTCTCGCTGGTGATGCGGACATGAATGATGAGACAGAGACAAGCGGCGATGCTAATACTCGTGGCATTGAATCTCTCGATGAGACTGACGTCTTGCTGTATCCTTGTGGCATGAATGCCATCTTCAACGCCCACCGCGCTCTCGTGGCTGCTCTGGGTTCACACAAGAGCATCAACTTTGGATTTCCCTACGTCGATACGCTCAAGATTTTGGAGAAATTTGGACCGGGCTGCATCTTGTATGGCTATGCTTCGTCGGACGAACTTGATGACCTTGAGCGCCTCCTGAAGGATGGACAGCGCTTCCTTGCCCTCTTTTGCGAATTCCCGGGAAATCCGCTCCTCGCCTGTCCGGATCTCAAGCGGATTCGCAAGTTGGCAGACGACTTCAACTTTGCCGTCGTCATCGATGAGACGATTGGCACATTTGCCAATGTCAATGTCCTCCACTACGCCGACATTGTCGTCAGCAGCCTGACCAAGATATTCTCGGGGGATTCGAATGTCATGGGCGGTTGCACAGTCTTGAACCCGGAGGGAAAACATTACAGTTTGCTCAAAAAAGTCCTTGAAGAACAGATTTACGAAAACACGTATTGGACGGAGGATATCCTCTTCATGGAGAGAAACAGCCGCGACTTCTCCAGCAGAGTGAAGCGCATAAACGTCAACGCGGAAACAATATGCGACATCTTGCGAGACGACCCTCTTGTCAAGACTGTACATTATCCCAAGTTTAATCCTTCAAAACCCTACTACGAGGCATGCCGTCTTCCTCATGGCGGATATGGAGGCTTGCTCTCCGTCGTGTTCCACCACCCTGAGCACGCCCAAGTTTTCTTCAACAACCTCGACACTGCAAAGGGACCAAGTCTGGGAAGCAACTTCACGCTCTGCTCCCCTTATGTCCTTCTGGCCCATTATCGGGAATTGGATTGGGCTGCCAAGTATGGTGTAGACCCGGACCTGGTTCGTGTCAGTGTAGGATTGGAGGAGCCTGAAGAGCTGCAGCTTCTCTTCCGAAAAGCTCTCGAGGCCGCAAAAGCAGTAAGCATTGCGTGATGGCAACAAAACCGGGCATCAAAATGGATATAATGGCAATCATCATGGTGTAAAATGAATGTAGTTAGCTGAAATCGACGAAGTAGCAGCACATAGACGATGCTGTGGACGAATGTTCAACTCATCCGGTCGTTGTGCTCAATCTGTTTCTTCCTCACAATAGCACATATATAGGTTTAAAATAGTTAGCAGGTGCCGAGTAAAAACGCACACAGGGTTCTCAGGAGATATATAACACGCCATAGAAAGGGGTATTATCAGTTATTATCATCTTTCTAGCATCGTAATAAACATTATCGCTTCATAAACAGCGTTCTAAAGAGCACATGCTTGTCGTTCAGCACCTCACATGATGGTACATTCCGACCGTGTATAGCCTTCCCCAAACTCCTCTACCCCCCGTTCTATATCATTGGCTCGTTGCTTCTCCTTTACTTCTGGGAGGAAGTATTTTCTCATAAATTTCTCTAATTCAGCGTCGATGTTATCTACACAATGTTAGTGTGCCATCCTCGTGATCAATAATGTCTCACACCATGAGCGGGTTACTTACCAGCGGAAGCATCCATAACTACATGAGCTCGGCACAAGGGACAGCATTCCTCCTTGCGTCGCTGTATCTTGATGATGCAACGAATGCAGAAGAGGTGCTGACAGCCTAGACGCACTGGTTGATATGCAATCGAATAGCATATCGGGCAAAGGTAGTCATTAATTTGTGGTACGATAGAAACCAACTCGTTGGAAATTCCGGCGCACACTTCCTTGGCAATATCGCCCGTTATTAGCTTTCGCGAGCTGATTGCGCTCGGGAAGGCACGCGAAACGCCTAGCGCAGTGCGTTTATCGAATTCTATGTCTCTCGTTAGCTGATACTCTACCCAGCCAACGGACAACGTGTCGTCTTACTCTTCAATATTTTTGAAATGGCCAGCATGTTTAGTTCCTGGAACTGTAGATGTTTCAAGAGGGTAGCATTCAGCTCAAGAAAATGCGAAAAGGCAGATCGACTTTCCGCCAACTTGAATGACTTGACAAGCTGTTGCTTGTGGACCTGGTTCTGAAACCACTGCAACTGCTGGAGAGCTTTCTGGCTGGAGCGAGCCCCGTGTTCTTGCTCATGTGTCGCAAAGAACACTTCTGCATCCAGATACAGCTCGAATATGTGCCTCCAGCGGCCGAGGTCGCTCTTGGAAAACCGCGTCGGTCGAGACACTTGCGAAACTTGTTTCCCTATCTCTCTAACCTCCTTTTTCAGCTGATCCTTCTCCGTGGCCTGCAGGGCATCCAAACCGCCCAGATCACTCTGAAGAAGGTCAAAGAAGACGCCGTCGGATACCAGGGGCACCTCTATGATATCGTATTTTTCATGGCTTGTATGGCTTCCATCTGCGAGAGGCTGCGATGTTGCACGCGCCGCTTCGTCGCTCGTCTCGGCGTGCGAGGTATCGGCTGATTTGGTTTCTCCATCGCTTTCGCAGGAGTCAACAGCAAGGTTGGAGGTGATTTTCTCGAAGAAGTGGCGCGTGGTCGGCGCAAGCGACGCATCGATAATGTTGCCCTCATGCAAATGGATATATACAGTTAACTTGGGTCGCACAAGTTTAGAGCTTGAAGATGCTTTGTATTTGATTAGGGTTAGCGATGAAGATTGAACGTCTCCCTGTTGGAGAGCAGCAGACAGGCAAATCGATGCTCCTAGGGGTAGACATACGGTTGAGACTATAATTCAAAGCGACTGGAGAGTCCGTGCTGGGATGGAGAAGTTCGCGCAGGGTTTCGGCGTCAAGTCCCAACTCTTGGAGCTCTCGTTGGACTTTCTTGAGACACTTCTTCAGCTGGCCATATGGGATCGCATGGGCAACCCAGTGAGGCGGGAAGCCTGAAACATTATGATGAGCCACTGCAAGACACTTGAGGCGCAGCTGGAGCTGCTCTCTCTCAGCTATACCGGGGAAGAGGAAAAGGGTCTACCTTGACTAGCCAGCGACTGCTTAAGTTCATGGGCGAATTTCATGGCATCTGTCAATCATGTTGTGAGCTTGTTACTTCTGAGTTGCCGAGAACTGCCACCCCTACCCTTCTCAAGTAATAGACCACAGACATGGTTGTAATGGTATGCACCTTATGATATTGTCGCAACCCCAAGTGGAGAAGGCGACAGCCATAGAGTCAGCCCTATCTGTTCTTGTTCAAGGCCAGAAAAGGCGACGCCGATAAAAGCCGGAGTTTTAGGCGAACGGCGGAGGATGGAAGTGAAAGTTGAATACATTTCGTAATGGGCTAATAGGAGACAAGCAAAGAGTGTGTATGTAATTTATTTATTTTTTTCACGTGAAAGGCAGCTGTTTTCGTCCATATTTCCCAAGTAAGTAATACTAATTGATGAAAACATTTTTTTTTTAATTCCTCGTGGATTTGCCGATCCTCCTCCGATCTGCTCCTCGATTTTTTCCCCTCCTCCAGCGCTATTGGGTGACATTTGACTTCTTGGTCAGTGTGTCACTGCCCCACTCCATCTTCTCAACTCGGTTGCTCGGCATCCACCCATCTTGAAAGTAAACAAATGCTCTACACCATCGCAACCATCGCATGAGCAGCTTTATCGTATCATATTAGTATGTCATTATGACAATGACGAGTACTCAGAAAGATGACCCCTTTTACGACAGTGATGACGAACTTCCATCTTTGGATGCGCTCCTGGCACGTATTTCTGGCCGCATACAACAGCCGCTCTCGCAATCAAAGCCTATATCGAAGCCCAACCCGAAAAACACCATCTTCATTGACCTTGAAGATGATGATAGCAGCGTGGAAAATCAGACTACCGACAAAGAAGATTTCATCTACTGCCTGAGCGATGCAGAACCCGAGAAGGCCATCCCGACCTTGGGAAAGGGAGAAGCACAGAAGAGATGGCAGTCGACGTCGGAGAGGTTTGGTGATGATGATCCACGGGGGGGAGAGAAAAGGCCCTCTCGGCCTCTGGGTCGATCTTCAAGCACCCAAAAATCCAAACCGCAAGAAGTCGATATTCGATCGCGCAAGACCACCAAATCTAAGAACAATATACCCTCTAGGATCGAGTCGCAGGTATCAATAAAGCAGCCTCGAGACACTTCGGAAACGAGCGATGGCGCCTCCCAAAACACAACCTCAAATGCTAGCGGCCAAGCATCAAGATTGCCTCAGTCACAGACTAGCACGTCCGAACGATCTCGTTACAGGAGTCAAGAGGGACCATTAACACAACCTCCTCGTAGCGTATCACCAAGCCGGAGTCGAACCATAAAATCGAGTCGTCAGCCCGAGCTGCCCAAGCATAAAGAGGGCAAAGATATCGTTCGGCCATTATCGGAGCTTCAGCTTCATTTTCAGGATGGGCTCGATGCTAATACTCTGAATTTTCCTACCATGCCTCCCACAAAGAGCAAACAAAAGAAGCCGGTCTCTCCTCATGGAGACTTTCACCCCGAAGAGGCATCTCAGGAGCCAATTATTGATACTGTTCGGCTTGAGGAGTCTGATCATGAATGGAATGAACTAGGAATGAATCGTAAGACCAAAACTTCTAGTCGATTAACAGCTCTAAAATCGCCGTCAAAACGACAGACGAAGAAGTCGTTTGACGCCATAAAATCTCAGCTGGCAGTAGACTTCCTCCAGCAGCTCGATGCTCAAATCACTCACGGCAGGGTTGGAGAATTGACTCAATCAACCGGGGGAGTCAAGATTGTGTGGAGCAATACTCTCAAAACAACCGCTGGTCGAGCAAACTGGAAGCGGGAAACTGTCATCCCCAAACATACAGGCGACAGCGCCAAGGCGGACGTGAAGCAATATCGGCATCATTCTTCCATTGAGCTTTCCGAGAAAGTGATTGACGATGAGCTGCGCTTACTGAATGTCATAGCACATGAATTCTGCCACTTGGCAAATTTCATGATCAATGGTATTACAGACAATCCTCATGGGAAGGAATTCAAGGTATGGGCAGCGAAGTGCACCCAATTGTTTGGTTCACAAGGCATCAAAGTCACCACGAAACATTCATACGAGATCGATTTCAAATACGTGTGGACTTGCACAGCATGTGGCTGCGAGTATAAGCGTCACTCTAAAAGCATTGATCCCAAGAGGCATCGATGCGGCGCTTGTAAGGCTTCACTTGAGCAGACGAAACCAATACCACGCCAGACGCCAACGGGTCAATTAAGCGAGTACCAATTATTTGTCAAGGAACAAATGAAGGTTGTGAAAACCGAGAATCCAAACAGCCCACAGAAAGAAATCATGGGGATAATCGCAGAGAGATGGACCAAGGTGAAGAGCAGAGATGTATAGAGAAGCTGTTTTATGAATGCTGAAATACCAGCCCAATGAATAATACCCGATTTATTATGTAATTAGCAAATAGAAATGGATTTGATGATTATATCTATCCATCTTTACCATATAAATGTTGTATCTTGTCAGTCTTTTTTCCGCTCTTATTGATGAAAAACGGTAACGGCGATACATACGTGGCATGCATGCATAAGGCACCATGCATGGGCAAAGTAGCTTAAGCTGCTTGGTTGGGCTTTCAACTTCATCTCAACTTCATCTAGACGTCCAAAGCCAAAAACACAAGCAAGCACTGCTCAAATACCCATTCAGGGCCATGGCTCATCGGTTAGTTGAAAACTCAGCGGCCATCTTCTCGCCATCCGTCGCCCGCATTGCCGCATCCACCGCCCGGGACTGGTCTTATGTCGACGCCTGGCTTGCGTCTAAATCGCCCGCATGGAAGAATTCGCTGCCGTCTTTTGAGCGGAACCAGGACACGCTCAAGGCGCTGCTGGCCCTCGTGTCGCTCAACGAAGCAGCCGATGACCAGCGCCGCCTCTTTGCCCGGGTCGATGCCACGGCTCTCCAGGCGCTGAGCGCCAACGACAAGGCCGAGTTGGGCATCGTGGCCAATGCCACCACCCTCACCAAAGGCCATTTGCTCGATGCCATAGAGCACAGTCTTCCCAAGGACGGTGTGAACGCCCTGGATGTCCTCACTGCTGTGGCCTCTGAGGCCGCCACTGCGAGCGCGGATCCCGATCACCTTGGCAGCCTGATGCTTCGTCTTCAGGGCACGGTGTACGGGGCTGAACAGACGGCAGCCCGCGTTGATGCCTTTGACCGCCAGCTTCAGAGAGAGGCCGAGGCGGCTGAGGAGCTGCTTCATACGCTGCAGAGCGAGTGCTATAAACCACCTTCTGACCTGGCAAAGCAGAACCTGGATGTGCAGCGCAGAATCAAGACCGTTTCTGCCCAACTTCCTGATCTCCATGACCGTGTCACTGCTCTTGGTGCGTCCATTGCGACGCCGTATATGGCGATTGGCGATGTCATTGAGCTTGAACAACGCTATCAAGCCTTGCTATTTCATGTGAGGGATCTTAGCGAGCAGATTGCTGCTCTTTCACAGGAGTAGGCCTGGTGCGCCTCACCCCCCCTATTGTTTGTGCCAAAATATTAATAATTTTTCTTAACCAGCACTCTTGATGATCGATACTGGAATCTTCACGATAAACCCCATTAGCATCTTATAGCGGGAACATTCATGCTGCGGCCAAAGGCGTCGGCTTCAGCTTCGCACAGATATAGATCGCTGTTGCATCCGCTATTTATTCCCAATCCTCACTGCTCTGGTATCTACTGGTTTCGACGGTTCTTCCCCGAAACGGCACCTCCTAATCTCCCAAACTGCCTTCCAAGTCCCGACCTTTTGACTGGTGGCGAAATCACTGGCGGTGCCTGGTCTTTCAGAGGTACAGGCGGACCAGCAGGACCTCCTCGCATGCCGTCTCTGTTTTTGCTCTCCGGCGATGCCTCTCCTATACGGAATTCGCTCACTCCAGCTGAAAGAGTATCCTCTATCTCAATGTTGGGTCGTTGACTTCTTCTTGCTCTGTCCTGGACACTGCGAAATTTCTCCAAAAGCTCAACCCATCGTATGGCACCATCTTCTCGCCCCTTCAACCTATTTGGTCGGTCATAATTTGAGGAAGCTGGCGTTGCTGCCATGCTATGTCCATCACCACCAGTTAGCACTGAAGAAAGAGGAGGAAAAAGGCCGCAAAGCCTTCGAGGATCCAAGATGTCGGCCAATCTTACCTTCGTGGAACAACTTGCAAGAACCCAATTGAGCTTACGCTATTGAGTCGGTTCTTCAATGCGGCAAAGGCAGAGGACTGCGGCAGAAGCATAAGAATTCCGTACATACATTTGTACAAGTACGGATATTTCTCAGGTTCTAGCAGTTGCAAGCGCAAATCTTGTTTTCTGCAAGTTAGTGTATGTCTGATCACGCACATTCTTTCTCTCAAACGACCCAAGTACTTACATGTGAAGACGGGCGATTCAATAAGCTGGACTAGCTTGTCGACTTGGATTAGCATATTGACTGTCATGTCCAATTCACCACTGTTCAATTATCAGCGACAAGTTACGGAGACTTCCTGTAGACAGAACTCACAAAATTTGTAATAGATTATACGCTTGTTCGTAGGCTTGGGAAAGTAAACACAGGGAGAATGTCGCAACTGCATTATAGCACCACGACCTGAACAGAGCCACAAACAAAGTTTGACCATCCTGCACGTTGTGTTAGTTGAAATACCCTCAGTTGTAAAGCTCAAAGATAGAAAAGGTAAGGGGGCAAGCTTATCATAGACATAGTTTTGTACCTTCGTTTCCAGATTTCTCAACCGCTTGCGTACCTCCGCGAGCTGAGGTGCCGTAATCAAGTTGTTATTCAGATTTTGCACCATGATGCTAGCAAATTCTACGTCTTCCTCCTTTTCAATACAATCGGCCAACGTCCGGTATATGCGTTCTGGACTGAGGCTGATACAAAGTTGCCGTATGATGAGATTACCTCTGGTTTCGAGCAGCTTCCGATCCGTAGAAAAAAGCTGCAGCAAGTTTACCATGAAGCTGGCGAAGTAATCGTCCTCGCTATTTCGTGAAATTTGAGACAGCAGTTGCAAGTCTCTGGTAACAACAGCATCAGAAGGATCCGAAAGAGTCTTGAGAAGGGCCGGAAAGGTGCCGTCGTTGAAGGCCAACACCTTGCGCGGCGCTTTTCTGTGCAGCATGATGAGCCAAGTCAGAGCAGCTACACGTGTAGCTTCGTGGTCATTTAGGAATAGTAGGGTAAGTGAATTAACAGCAGCGGTATAATCGAGATTCGCTTGAATTTGGGTGGCGTCAGGTGTGGCGAGTGCAGCGGAAGACACTCGACCGCTCCCTGGTGTTACGCTACGTATCTCGTTGTCTCTGGAGTTTGATATCGATACCCGACCGAGGCTGCTATTGTCTTGCTTGTCTTGTGATAACGAGAGTCGGTGATTCATCGAGACTGCTCCTTGGCTTGCGTTGACATCCGATTCATCGGACAGAGAAACCACGTAATCCATGAGACAACTGTTAACTCTAGTCGCAGCGAGGCGAATCGTCTCTTTGGTGCTAGCCATCGCAGGAAGCATATGCGCTAGGATCTTGGGCGTAAAAGGCAGTACTTCCTCGGGGCAAATATCGAGAAATTCAACTATCCATCTGAGCGACTCAAGGAGACAGTCTTCCTCTTTAGCATTGTTAGCATCAACTCATAAGATGGCAAGTATAGTGACCAGATGAGATGCAAAACGAACCTAGTGGAGAATCAAGAGTAGCAGTAAGGATATCCAGTATCTCTTTATAGTTGATTTCAACATCTTGGCCGGGGATCCAGTCCTCTTCCATGCTGTCCTCATCGTCGTCGTTCAAGGCATCGGAATCAAGCTCGTCTCCCTCTTCCAAGTTAGGGCGGCCGCCAGTGCTGTCGATGGATTCCTGTCGCTTCCGCTTCCCCCCTTCTTTGAACTTCTTGTTCTCAACTAGTCCTCTTTTCACTTGGGAAATTCTTTTGATTTCGTTAAGAAACTTGTCAAGGCAAGTTTGTGTGGCCACTCTAACGTCAACATTTTGATCGCTGAGAAACTTGAGTATCCCACCAAGAAATTCCGGTAGGTAAGTGACCAGTTCCAAGTCTGGGATTGAGTCTAGAAGTGTGATCCAACCAACAAGGAACTGTCGGGTGAAAGGATTGATGACATGGATGCGTTCTTTGAGTAGTGGGATGAAGCGCTGCAATGAGAAAGCTGTAGGAAGATTTTGTTGTTGTTCACCGGTGCCATTCTCATCGTCGAGGCTAGAGGTTTCTAAGACCGAAATGTAAGAAGCGGCTGACTCAGAGACGATGTCTTTTATGAGTCGATCTAGGAGTTCAGCTCCATTCTTGACTGACAGTTCAGAGTCCGCTCCGAGCTAAAAGAAAAAGCGATGCTTCCGTTAACAAGCCAGCCATTTCGGACTTCTACACTCCCCCACCAGCGGACTAGATGAACCGACAAGCATACCTTGCATAGTTGATCAAATATACTGTTGAAATAGGCCAAGATCTCCCCCTTGGCCACCTTGGCTATATTATACATAGCCTCGCAGGCATAATATCGAACTCTTGCATCCTGATCGGTGAAGCAAGCAAGCACAGGAGGCACGATATTTACAAGATAACGAGGTAACTCCTGCGGCAAGTGTCAGTGACGACACTATCGAGCATAGAAGCCTCTACAATGTGCGAGAGTGATGTGTTTCAACGGAAGATGACACAGTTGGAACATGGTACAGCAGGCAAGACGAGATAACAGGAGATGGCGTTTATAGATCGCTTGTGAGGTCGGCAACCGAGCTATACAGAAAGTTGAACATACCGTACCGAGCGCAATCGCCGCGGCGGCTAATCCAATCAAGCCTCCATTGCGAGCATGTGGCTGATGAACAGCGTAGGCATAGTCATTACACAGCTGTTCCAGAATCTCTTCAACGCGCTGGAACGCGCCAGAGGCAACAAGATCTCGTATTATCTTCTCAAGTCTAGCATACGGCAAACGTAAGCACATATATGTCAATGCATCAACAGTTGGGCAAGGCCTATGCCATACTCAAGTGCCCCAACCTTGCGCTTGTCGTAGAGTTTGTCATTCAGCGCCCGCTGGATGTTGGTATCCATATTTCTAAATATCTCATGCTTGGTTCGGTCAGAGAAGACGAGCAATAATCGAGGTTGCGAGCGATGACGATGGTCGGTATTTAAGCGCGGGCGTCTTTGGGACGTGTGTATGTATTGCGTACCGTTTACATAAGCTATGAGGAGGTGCTACAGCGCCACTAGCATCATGTGGTTCGGAATTCGAAATATGGAATTAGGCGTACAACTAAGAGCACCTAGAAAGAAACAACGTCAATTCACCACGGTAGGTTCAATACCAGGTATAGTACGGAGTACAGTAGTAATAATAAGTTATTTTGCATTAAATTTATTATGATTATTTCTTATGTATTGTATAAACAGCATAGAAAACTCCTAGAATGTGGTTTCATATTACGTGTAATTCGCCATGTCCGCGCGCGTAAATGACCTCTCAGTTATTAATTGATTTTGTGTATTTTTTTTTTGCCCTTTATCATATATACTACACATGGGAATCACGAGTTACATACAGAGTAAACGTAAAAGCACATTATGACTCCCAACGCATCTGAGGCCAACAGACCACCTCGACGGGTATTTTCCTCGCTTTTGGCTGATCACAAGATTGTGAGCCTCCAAAAACACCGCCTTTCGTTTTCTTCAAAAGGTCTTTTTCTCTCTCCTTAGTTCTTAGACTTCTTAGCCATGGTGTTCAAAGCGCTTCCGTTCTTGAACCACTCAATCTGGGCCTCGTTGAAGGTCTGCAGCAGCTCAACTTCAAAGGGGTTGCCCTCCTTAGGGTGAACGACCATGATAAGGGGCTTTCCAACGGCGAGCTCGGTGCAAGGAATGTCAACCTACAGCACGCATTAGCATTCACAATTTTATTTTACGCTGGCTGTCAAGGGCGGGGAGAGCTAACCTTGTCATCGGGCTTGATCTTGTCATAGTCGGCGGGGTTAGCGAAAGTCAGAGGAAGCATGCCCTGCTTCTTCAAGTTGGTTTCGTGGATACGAGCAAAGCTTCGGGTGATGATGGCCAGGCCTCCCAGGTGACGAGGCTCCAAAGCAGCGTGCTCACGAGAGCTACCCTCGCCGTAGTTCCAATCACCAATGACAACCCACTTGATACCCTTCTTCTTGTAGTCACGGGCAACAGCGGGGACAGCATCCCAATCGCCGGTGGTGAAGTTCTTGATCTTGTTGGCCTCGTCGTTGGCCTCGTTGATGGCACCGATCAACATGTTGTTGGAAATGTTGTCAAGGTGGCCACGGTACTTCAGCCACGGTCCAGCCATGGAGATGTGATCAGTGGTGGTCTTGCCCTTGGCCTTGATCAGGATAGGGACATCTTTGGCGTCCTTGCCATCCCAGGGAGTGAAGGGCTCCAGGATCTGGAGACGATCAGAGGTGGGGCTGACCTGGACGTTGACGCTGGCACGCTCCTTGGGGGGGGCCTGGTAGGTGTTGCGACCGGCGTCATAGCCCTTGGTAGGGAGACCGTCGCCGGTAGGAGGCTTGAGCTTAAACTCCTTGCCATCCTTGCCAACAAGCGTGTCAGTGAGGGGGTTGAAGTGCAGAGAGCCAGCAATGGAGAGAGCAACAACCAGGTCGGGAGAGGTGACGAAAGAGTGGGTGGCGGGGTTGCCGTCGTTGCGTCCAGTGAAGTTTCGGTTGTATGAGGAGAGGATGGAGTTGGCGTCACCCTTCTTCACATCCTGGCGATCCCACTGACCGATGCAAGGGCCGCAAGCATTGGCAAGGACAATGCCGCCAAACTCCTCAAAGGTCTGGAGCTGGCCATCACGCTCAATGGTAGCGCGGATCTGCTCAGAGCCAGGAGTAACAGTGAAAACAGCCTTGGACTTGAGACCGTGGTCGAGGGCGTCACGAGCGATAGAGGCAGCGCGAGACATGTCCTCATACGAGGAGTTGGTGCAAGAGCCGATCAAACCGACCTTGAGCTCCTCGGGCCAGTTGTTGTCCTTCACGGCCTGGCTGAACTTGGAAATGGGGGTGGCCAGATCGGGAGTGAAGGGACCGTTGATGTGGGGCTCGAGCTCAGACAGGTTGATCTCGATAAGCTGATCATACTCGGCACCCTGGTCCTCGCGAAGTTCAGTAGCGTAAGCACGAGCGAAATCTCCGATATCCTTGCGCTTGGTTGCGGCAAGGTAGTCGTACATGCGGTCGTTGAATGGGAAAAGAGAAGTAGTGGCACCAATCTCGGCACCCATGTTGCAGATGGTACCCATGCCTGTGGCAGAGATACCTTCAACACCAGGACCGTGGTACTCAACAATAGAGCCCGTGCCACCCTTGACAGTCAGGATATCAGCGACCTTGAGGATGATGTCTAACAAGTTGCAACGTCAGTATGGTAAACAAAAAAAGGGATAGGGTTGTATTGACATACCCTTGGGCGCGGTCCAGCCGGACAGCTGACCAGTGAGCTTGACACCGAGGATCTTGGGGGCCTTCAGCTCCCAAGGCAGGTTGGCCATGACGTCGACAGCGTCGGCACCACCAACACCAATAGCGGCCATACCAAGACCACCGCCATTGGGGGTGTGCGAGTCAGTACCAATGAGGAGACCACCGGGGAAAGCATAGTTTTCAAGGAGAATCTGGTGGATAATACCAGAGCCAGGGCGCCAGAAGCCAATGTTGTACTTGGCACAAGCAGAAGACAAGAAATCGTAGACCTCCTTGTTGATACCAATGGCGCGCTCAAGATCCTTGGCGCCGCCAACTTGGGCCTCAATCAGATGGTCGCAGTGGACGGTGGTAGGGTTTGCAACGGAGTCCATGCCAGCGGACATGAACTGAAGGATGGCCATCTGGGCAGTGGCATCCTGGCAAGCCACACGATCAGGGCGCAGCTTCAGGTAAGACTTGCCTCGCTCGAGCTCCTGGTTGTGAGGGTCGTCCAAGTGAGAGTACAGGATCTTCTCGGCAAAGGTCAAGGGTCGGTTGAGCCGGCTGCGGACAATGGAAAGGTTCTCAGACATCTTCTTGTAATTGATGAAGTTGTTCTCCTCCCAGTTGTTCTGGCGGACCTGCACGTGGGAATAGCGTCAGCGCGAAGCCCCGAGCAGACAGACAAGAAACGACGAGGGTACGTAGAACGGCCTACCTTTCGGTCGAGAGCAGAATCAGAGACGGTAGCCAGACGGCGAACGCTGCTGGCCGCGCCACCAACGGCGCGGCCCCGAGCAATACTGCCCAGAACCTGTCTGGAAGCAAGCATGGTGGCCAATTGAGCGAGGGTCTACAGACTGCAGTCAATTGGAGAAATCAGTCAACATCAGGACGAGAAAAAGGCCTTGGAGGGGGCGGCTTTGTTATAAAGCGACGAGAGTGGAGAGTTGGTTTTGCCTGGGTGGGGAGAGGTGTTTTTCGGCTGCTTCTGGGCCAGTCGTTATCCTCAGAGAGGTAAAAGATGGAGCCCCGCGGCCGGGATAGCAGGATATGACAGAATGTGCGGCTTAGAGCTGGCATGGCCCTAGACAATCTGGCCACTCACAGGCCGTGTAAACATAATCCCTTGGCCCGCGTCGTCGCTTGTGCCGAGCTAGACCTCCCCTCCTCCAGCCGAGAGCTCAGGTTGTAATTTTTTTTCTCTCCCTCTCATTTAGCCTCCTGCTCAGTACGGGCTGCCCCGTATTAACTCGGGCGCTTTGACGTTACAGCGTAGCAGGGCGAGCCTTGCTGCTGATCTGTACGGGTAGGTACGAGTATGAAGCAATAAATACGGAGTGCGGAGTACGACGGTGCTACAAAGTCGATGACATCCCATGGTAGGAGGCATGTAAGTCGTACTTAGTCCAAAAGACAGCGACTACTGGATCCCATGGTGAATATGTCATGTTTTGTGTAGAGCCTCACGGATGGCAATTCTCGTCATCCATCCCAAAGATGCGCGTTTTCAGTGTGCCCTCCATGTTGAAACGCTAATTTGCAAGTGTGCAAGCACATCATTACAGCATGCATCAGATGCCACCTCCTCCCCCGGCCTGCTGAATACAAGTATGTGCAGCATGGTAAGCATGTGACGTCGCAGGATATACGAGCACTCGTGCCAGCGCCATCGGGTGGCTAACAATCGGCCGTCCCTGAATCGTCTCGTCGAGATTCATTACGGCAAGGCAAGGCTGGAGCGGCAATTGCCGTGCAGCCAAGATACTCCGTGTTCGCAGGCAGAATCATGAAGTAGCCGTGCCTTGCCTCGGCATGAAGCAGCCGAATCATCGGTCGCCGCTCCACGAGCTCGCTTTTGCGAAGCTCTCGGCCATACTACTCGGAGCCCGAAGTGGCGTTAGACGGAGCTCCGTTCCTAGTGCCGCAGCAACGGAGATGTTCGTACACATGGAATCTGGTCCGTGCCTTGAATTGATGTTAGTCTGCCCAGTGCTCCGTAGAGCAATCACCCTAGTGCCATCGCAAATTTCAATAGTACTCGCTTATAACATACTGTATCTAGGTGGTATTTGATTGAATCGAAATCTCGCTAAATCTAGTCTAGTCTAATGCGATATGTATTGAAATACAGCTGAAACCTCACTCCCGCCGTGTTCTTGCCGAAGCAACAAATCTTGAATCGGCTGCAGCCCAGAGTTGACAAAGTGATTCCAAGTGCTTGTATCGCCATACAACATGGCAGGGGCCTTGATGAATTGTCGACCATCGGGCTTGCATCTTTTGCACTTGAATGTATCGTGGGTATCACTGGTCGTTTCAGGACGATACTGAAAGAGTTCTCTAAGACTATCGAGGGAGAAATGACGCTCCACGTCTTCAGCAGAATCTACTACGCATGATGATAAGCTTTGCTTGTGAGACTGTCTCTGAAAGATTTTCTCCTCGATGGTGCCAGTGGCAATAAAACGGTAAACGAAGCAATCCTTCTTCTGGCCGTCTCGCCACACTCGGGCCAGGGCTTGTTGGTCGGCGGCGGGATTCCAATCCGGGTCAAAAAGGACAAGGCGATTTGCTCCAATGAGATTGATTCCACAGCCCCCCGCCTTGCTGCTCAACAAAAAGACGAATTCGTCTCCGTTCGGGTCGTTGAAGCGATCAACCAATTTTTGGCGTTTGTTCACATTCATGGTTCCATCGAGACGTAGACATCCATATTGGCGTTCTCTGCAAAGACGTTCAAAGAGGTCCAACGTAGACGTGTAGTTGCTAATGAGGACAATCTTGTCATTTGTGTCTTCTCGAATCTTAGCAAGCATTCGATCGAGGACCAGCATCTTTCCCGAATACCAGGGTTTGATATCCCGATCTCTCCCACGAGCCTCCTTACGTACGTAGTCCTCTGGGAAGCAATTTTCTGAGCCAGGCAGGTCGTCTGAAATATTCAGGAGGTCGGGGTGGTTGCAGAGCTTTTTGAGAATGTTGATGGCTTTGAGGGGCTGACTACCCTTGCCACGAAGAAGAGCTCGGATATCTGGGCTGGTGATGAAATAATTGTAGAGGTCGATCTGGAATGGAGCAAGGTTGCAAAAGACCACATGCTCATATTTTACCGGAAGGTATTTGGAGAGGATGTCGTTTGTTCGTCGAATCAAAAATTTGTTAACAATACTAAGCAATTCTCCAGTACATTCGTCTCCGCGCTGGCGGTCGTGTTCTGAAGCGTCCGCATCCCGCCCACGCAATATCGGTATCTCAAAGCGCTTTCGGAACTCCAGTCGAGATCCAAGTAGATCTGGATTGGCGAAACTGGTCAAGGCAAAATATTCCGTAAGATCATTTTGAATGGGTGTACCGGTGAGGATCACCCGTCTGGTGACATTCAGATCATTTAGAGCATTGAATGTATTGCTGTCTGCATTTTTTAAACGATGGCCTTCATCGCAGAACAGAAGCCCGATCTTGGTGTGTTTGAGCTCTTCAACATTGAGGCGCAGAGTCTCGTACGAGACAATGATGACCGGTCGAGTGATGGATCGGCCAGAGGCGATTGCCCACTGACGAAGTTGTCGTTTCAATTCTTCCTTTGGTGCCTTGCCATCAATGGCAAATGGATTGATAGCATTAGGACCAAGCCATTTTGTCAACTCGTTTGCCCAGTTTTTCACCAGACTCGCGGGGCACACCACGATGGCCTTTTGTATTGTCGATTTCCCGCCGGTAGGAGACTGCTTCAGAAGCGTCCACATGAGCGTAATGCACTGAAGCGTCTTTCCCAGTCCCATCTCGTCAGCCATGATGCATCCCTGAGCTTTTGCGTCGACCAGTCCTGTAACACATTTATACATGAACTTGACTCCTTCAATCTGATGAGGGCGGAGGCATTTAGCAATCTTAGGATCAATGACAACCGGCACTTTTGGGTGATCTTGTTCCACTTCCTTCTTGATGCCAAGGATCTCAGCAAGGCTTTTATGCACAATTGGGCTGTCGATTTTCGAGGGCTCCGCCTCTTTTTGCACCACGTTTTCCGGGATTGCGTCAGGCTTCGCATCGACTGTTGGGTCATAAAGAACAATGGCAAATTCGCCGGATGGATCATGTAGGGGCTTGGGGACAAACACGACCCCACGTCGCAGACCAAGTGTTGGCGGTGGTCTTGATACATCGAATGCCACATGAGATTTGTCCTTCAGGGGAATTGAAAAGGCTTTTCGAAAAACAACATTCTTGTCTTTGGCTTGAAAGACTGGGAACTTGGGCGATGCCACTACTTGGCGACCAGCAGCATCATATGCTGTATCGATGCTCGTTGGTCCGTTTTCATCGGCTCCTCTATAATCAACCTTTCTTTTTTTCCTGGCTGGGCGATCCGTCGCGGATACCGCAGTAGCCGCCGACGGACATTTGAATGGTTTCCGAAGTTTGTCAATATTCTGAGGCCTGGGAACCTGGTGATTCAGTTTGCTGGTGGGCTTATCCTTCAGCGCTGAGACTGATGGCGCACTAAATTTGTCAATAAAGATAATACATCATGTAAGCTGTTGCAAAGAGTCACATACGGAGCTGTCATGGTAAACGAGGGCAATCTTCATAGGCTTGTGCACGAAAACAAAACAAAACACCGGCGCTTCTAAGCAAATTCATACATGGGAAGTGAATAAGATGACGCGCTTCCCAGGGTTGAGTCGCGTATGGTTTAGCACACGAGACTTCTGACGCGATATCACGTGACGAATAAAAACAATCTTAGGTGGCCTACTTAGGTAGACAAGACATGCTGTGGAACACATCTCGCAGGCTTGTCAATGATGTGATGCAGGGAGGCGGGTATGCATGATGCGTTCAGCTTAATTGCTATGTGTGTTAATATTTCTAATTTGTGACTTTGCTCTTCTCTATCAAAGGAAATTCAATCACCAGGAATGTTCTGCCAAGGCACTCTCGATGACAAAACAAGCAGATGCACGACTGCCAAATCCCGATGTACATAACAAGTGAAAGATGAAACCCGCTGAATGTCCTATCATTAAGCCGTGAGCATTTTCGGTTGATCTCTATTGCCGATATTGACTTCATTCATGATCCACTCGTAGACAGCCCATTGAATGGCATTTACCACGAAGGCCCTGACACTGCAGACTGATAGGCCACGGAAAAAGGGACGAATTCCGCCCTCTCTGTAAGTATCCATCGTCACCTGCCATGCTCCATACCGCCTGTTGCTTTTGCTCGCCGTGCTCATTCTGTCGTGCCTCAGAAACGGCGTCTCATCCGTCGACGGTCGGTAGGAATATTGCTGTGTCTGTAGGCGCGACTTGATGACGTCGAGAGGAAACACACTCGCCCAAGTGGCAATTCCTGCAATCCCACCACAAACCAATACCTTTGACGTATCTCGTCGCCCAGACGCAGCATTGTCTTGCTCTTGAGCAGCAGGCCAGTGGCGATGAGCCAATTCGTATGTCCAAAAGTAAAAGCCATAGCCGATGCTATCCCGAAGCGCCGTGACAAACCCGCCATAGTAGAAGCCCCTTACACCCTCTCTCTTCCATATCTGCTTCAAAATCGCCCAGCTCGATGTAGCTGGTGTGGACATTTGTGCTCGGCATTTGATTAATTCGGTTGGAGCGCTGACTATCCATACTCCCAGGCCGCTCACTGCTCCGGCTGTCCATGTAACCCACCCGGCATCCGGGGTTGATGCCACCTTTTTCAGAATTGCTTCGGACCGATTGTATGAGTAGAATAGCAGCGCATTCAGAGCTCCGTACCCGAATATGGGAGCGGCAGTGCCTTTCATCAAGGCCACTGAGTTCTGGCTGTATATTCTCTGGGCAACATTGCTTCTCGTTTGCTGGTGTACTTTTTCAATATCGAGAGGGTTGCCTACTACAATGCCGACTATTCCGCTGAGATAGCCAGCCCAGAAATCAGCCGACATGGTGAGGATCTTGGAGTTTATGTCTATTGCCAAGTGCTAGATTGTAAGTTCGATGAAATGAAGGCCCCATATCACCTAGTGGTAGTAGAAACTATCACATGCAAACTTAGGTTTTACACTAAGTCTATTCTATCTCTATTCTTCACTTCTCTCACACATGCGATAAAAATGTTAAGTTTGTGTCTACTACACAATCACATGTGGCTCAACAAGCTCGATCCTCGATAAGTATGAGGCATTACCTACATATTCTATTCATATGCCAACGTGGAGGAGATAGCAATTATATTACACTCTTAGCATCCTGCAGCTGCCAGCCGTCTTTGGCTTGTTTAACCTTACTCTCCTGCTCCAATTTGGCAAGCATCTGTAAAACCCCACCGCAAGCTGCCATGTGTAAATCCTCACGCACATCCTTATAAACCGTTTTAACTATGTCCATTGCCGTCCAACTTCTGCTATTGTCCGAGTTGCTGGCTCTCATTGCTTGCAAAACCTCTTCCTCTCGCTGGTGGCGGTGCTCGATATATTCGCTAATCTTTCCCGGTCCATCCTCAACCACAGGCCCATGCCCCGGATAAATTTGCCCGGAAAAGAGCGTCTTCATTTTTCTCAGGCTCTGGAGATACGTAGACAGATCCTCAAACACAGCAGTGCCCTGTCCAAGCACATTGTCACCAGCAAACATTGCATCTTCTTCGGTAAGCACGAACACCATGTGGTCTTTTGCGTGACCGGGAGTGTGCCAGGCCGTTAAAGTCGCGTCTTCGACTTGGAAACTATCGCCACTCTGAATCGGTAACTGTCCATCATCGGGGCTGTTTTTGAAAACCTGTACTTGGGGGAAAGCCTTGACAAGATCTGTGATGCCGCCGGTGTGGTCATGATGCCAATGTGATAATACGGCCAACTTCACCGTCGCATTTTCTTGATCAAGCGTCTCCTTGAGTGTTTGTATCCAAACTGGACGTCCTTCTCCTGTATCAATTAAAATACGAGAGTGGCCAGTACCAAGCAAGTAGGTGTTAGTGCCCTGCAGCGCAAATTTGCCTGGGTTGCCGCCTAGGATCCGGATGCAGCGTGGGCTCAGGCGCTGCACCGTAGGAAGGGCTACCAGAGTAGCGGCCATGGTTTCGATTTTCCTGTATTTCAGTCACTTTCAAGTGGTAGAGACGAGCGCGGGTCCATATATCATGATGGCGATGCAATGAGAGCGTAGGTTTAACTCAACTTGTATTTGCATGCTGCCGAGGTTGGGAGGCGTTTTACATTAGTAACGCAAGCCGAGGCTCCAGATCTACCAGGTACATGGTAGGCACCTTGAACTGCATACACATAACAAAATTGAAGAATCAGGCCTTCGCGATGTAAAAGCCAAAACGAACTATTTCTTCTTCTTCTTTTTTCTTATTAATATTGTTAACAACAAGAAGGAACATATAAGAATATGTACGAGTTCTCCCTCCCCCATCGTGCCAATTACCAGATACTACAAAGGTATTTAGGTAGTACTAATCCTTGTTCAAGGTTTATCGATAAGCACTGGGAAGGTACCTACCCTGCTCGTTCCGTCATAGACCAGAGATCTCTCACTTGTAGTAGCGAGGCTGCCAATCTGTGCGCTAGGCAGCTAGCTGCCACGTTATTCGCCAGCAGGACCCATGAAGTAAGGCTGCATTGCATGTACGCTATCACCACCACCTTGAGCCACCTTGAACCGCCTCTGAACGACTTCAGATCTGAAAGAGTTGCATCCCTCAATCCCTCACTTCGAACGGTAACAATACGTCACCGCGCTACACACTCTACCGCTCGCCAATCACTCCGCCAAGGTTGACAATCCAAGCTCCAAGCTGCGGCTGACCACCGTTGGTCACTACATCTCCAATATGAGCACCGACAGCATCTCCGATTTCCTTGCGGAGCAACGAGACGCAGCTCCAGAAGAGCTCCAGCCTCTTATCCTCAACTTTGAGGACTACTGGGAGCGCAAGTTATGGCACCAACTCACAGACGCCCTCGTCGAATTCTTCAACGATGACGGCAGCGCCGCCCAGCGCTTGGCCTTCTACAATGTCTTCATCCTCAAGTTCGCCGATAAAATCAACAAATTGAAGCTGGTGATGTTGGCCCTCAAAGCTGCAACACAGTGCAAAGGTTTGTTCCCGGCTTCCATCAAACCCAGAGCCATCCACGAGCCCTACTGACAATATCTGGAAGATGACCGTGACCGTTTGGCTTTCCTGCAGTCCGTAGTTAAGAAGGTGGACACAGAGGATTCCCAAGATGCGCTTGTGTTTGCTTCTGTTGCAGTGGCCAGGGTGAAACTAAGCCTTGGCGAGCTGGAGGACGCGAAACAAGATCTAGACGCTGCGGAGAAAATACTAGACTCATTCGACTCTGTTGAGGCAGTCGTACATGCGGCGTTTTACGACGCCAGTGCCAACTACTATCAGGTGAGACTTCTCATCACGGTTTCGAATACCACCACTAATCCTGCTGTTGTTAGCGAAAGATGGACTTTGCAAACTACTACCGAACTGCTCTCCTCTATCTTGCCTGTATCGACCTGTCATCGCTCTCTGACGAGGAACGACATCGAAGAGCCTACTACCTAAGCGTTGCTGCTCTAGTCTCTACTAGTATCTATAATTTCGGCGAGCTTCTACTCCACCCCATTCTGGACACCCTGGGTCGGAGTGAGGATGACGCTTGGTTGCGTGACCTTCTCTTTGCCTACAACCGGGGAGATCTTGCTGCCTACGACCTTCTTTCAGATAACATTGCATCTAACAAGCTGTTAAACGACAACTCGGACAGCCTCCGACAGAAGATATACTTAGCAGCTTTGACGGAGGCTGTATTTCGCAGACCACCGCATGACAGAACCATGACCTTTGCTACTATTTCTCAAGAGACCAAAGTTCAACCTCAAGAAATTGAGCACTTGGTGATGAAGGCTTTGAGCCTGGGCCTTCTGCGCGGAACAATCGACCAAGTAGGTCAGATTGCACACATTACTTGGGTGCAACCAAAGGTACTCGACATGAAGCAGATCGAGAGTATGCGTCAACGGCTCCTTGAGTGGGATTCAAACGTCAATCAGCTGGGGAACTGGATTGAGGCCGCAGGCCATGATGTTTGGGCAGCATAAGCATAACCACGACGAGATGCTGGTCAGTGGAGTTTGCAAATGCTCTTAGAGAGGCTGTATAGTATACCACAAATACGCACTGCAATTCCATTGAACTCTTGAATGGCATACACCCCTTGTTTAAACAAGGGTTATTAGTGATGTATCTAAAACGCAATCTTACAAACGAGATCCACCCCTGTTACGCAGGGTCTATTATACATTTCTCAATGTCATAGCTAGCATCTTTGCAGAAAACGCGGGCATCCTTCATATCTTGAAAGTAGAACTAAGAGTGTTTGTTGTGCCGATGAGCCAGGCAGGCCACCAAACGCACCAAATAATGATTGGGGTGTACATCCCCCACACATTCCACCCCAAACTCGCTGCTTTCAGCACTTCAGACATGGTAACACCGCTGGTCCATGCTGCGGATGATATAACAACGGGAGGTGAAGTCAGTATCAATAGGATTCCAAGGAACACCCTAGTGACCAAGTTGTTGGTCGGTTGGATGAAAGTAAGAGGGCTTGCCAGAAGCCCAACCAGAAAAGCGAGTGAGAAATTGAGCGTGCTGAGCGTGGCAAGAGATACACCTAGGATCAGCAGCGAGAAGGATTTTGTAAGTTGAAAGAACTGCGCGGTAGGCTTCTGAACTGAGGCAATAACGAAAGAGAAGATTGCAGGAAGAGCAGTAGACGAGACAGAAAATAGCAAAAAGGCGAATGGCAACGTCTAGTCATAACAAAAATAGGTCAGCACTCAGGTTTCAGGGTCCGCTATAGCCATAGATTTGGTGTTTCAGCCTACCTTAATGCCAAGATGGTTGAAAATGAACAGAGGTATTGCTGACATGGAATGGCATGTCGCAACGAGAGCGAGCGGCGAGAGAAGGTTACGCTCAACCGTAGGAGGAGATGAAGCCCTCGTTGTCGAAATTCCTTTGCCTTCTGAAAGGTCCCCCTTTGGCTTGTCGGTGGCTTCTCTCTTTGCTATGGGTTGCCCACTCTTCACCCAAAGAAAGATGGCCATAATAGTGAAATTGGCAGCAACCAGCATGGCACTGGGCAGATATGTGCCGATGCTAACAAAGCGATTCTTCTGCATGAGAAGATAGAAAAAGAAGCTCTGATGCAAATGCTCCAAAAGGTTGTTGAGACTCCTGAAAGATCCTTCTACGACTCTGCCCATTGCCATCTCATCGTGCCATCCTTCGCCAGCGGGCTGTAAGGTTATAGCGTCCACATGATAGGGAATGAAGCTACTATGGGGTCCTGTTGGATAACCAAGGCCTTGATAGAGCATACCTCGGAGCATCGTTTGAAGCCGATCCTGGTAGCTGTCCGTATGGCCAGCCATTTGCTGAACGGTAGTTTCAATGCCCATCTGGCCGCCTGCAATGTTTACAATCGAATTGATGAGGTCGAGATTGGGCAATTGACCATTCGTACCATCGTAAATGATGTGGAGTTCATGATACCGGTGCTCGAAAGGGTAGTCAATCGCAAGAGCTCCTTGCAATGCGCCAGACTTGAGAGGCAACGGCGCAATATACTTTGAATCATGAGCATCATGATAGGCATCAACCCAAGCTTGCGTACCCGTGGTGCTGTCTGGAGGTAGAAGGAGAATGATATCCTTAGACCATAAAGACCAACCTGGGTATTGTTAGCTGGACCGAGTAAACCAGATGCGTAGAGCCCGGGCTTCATTGGCGACTAACGTTTGAAATAGCGAGCCAACGTGAGGACGAGCGCAACACCATTGCGATTGAGCTGCTCATCTATACTTTTCCATGCAGCCACCAGAACGATGGCTTCGGTTGCATCCCCTCGCGGAGCTTGCAAAATACCGTAGACATTCTCTCCACTGTATATTTCTCCCGCAGAGTGATAGGTATAATTCTGTCGACCAACCTTGACTCCAAAGCCAGTCAAGATGGATTCCAGCTTGTCATTGACTCTAGTTTTCGTGTTAGCCATCTGTGTGCCGCGGAAATCGTCCATCCAGCTGGGAAGGGCCACTGACTCGTAGTTATTCTTGCTAGCAAGCAAGTCTACCTCATGCCTGAATGCTCTGAAAATGGATTGTTCGCTACCCCCAAAGTATGTATGCACCTGGCCAGGTAAGAGAGCATTCTCTGATACGTAGGTTCGTCTCGAGTAATCGTCCAGGGGCAGTAGGAGGAGCCAAACAACACCGATGGCGATGCAAAAGGCAGATATGTAGGGAGGTATTTTGAGCAGTCGAGGGTCGCGACGCAATGACAGCGCTGTAGCTACATAGACAAGAAAGTTAGCGCATTGGCTACGTCGCAGATGTTAGAAACACATACAGAGCAGTCGTGGCATCTCAGTTGCAAATCGCGCCAGGAATAAGTTTACCACTAATTGCTCGATCTGAATTGAAGGGCGACTGCTGGCTATAAAATTCCGGAGAAAGAAGAGCGCATGAGGAATGGGTAAAATCAATCCATAGCTTGGCCCAGCATTGGACACTAAAGTACTAGTATATCTCCAGGGTCCAAGCTGAAGACATTCCCGAGGTGGACCAGCGTTTTAGACTGATTATATAACCCCCCGAAACAAGCAACCACTAAATTCACACGAAGTATCATTCAACAGACAGCTTTATGTAGTAATTTATAATTCTTTTACAACTGGTATCTCATTGCATCTCAGGAAAAGAGAATTATTAATATTTCTATGTAATTATAATTATAACTGTTTATGAGATTTCTCTATATCATATTACTTGAGATTTCTCTATATCATATTACTTCCGTGCCCGAGGAAATATAAAGAGGAACGTCTAAAGCGAGAGTTCGGAAGAGTCGTAAGTTAGATAGTCTTGTTCGCTGATTTCCGAGTCATTATCTTCGTAATGGCGTGTCGAATTGCGATGCCTGCCTTTTCAATGTCCTTTTTAGATAGCGCAGAAGTGACGCACACTTTGAGGCTTGGTTGGAGTGACCAATCTCCATCCTTCGCCCCCATGGCATTCGCATAGGGTCTTGTCTTCAGTCGTGTGATCATAACACCATTCGCGAGGGACTGTTGGTTGTTAGCTATCAGTATCGTGCAAAAAGAGAAGGAGTGTAAAGGGAAAGCGGAGCATATACCTCTTCGACACACTCCATCAGAATCTTCTCTTGATCATCCACGGTCAATCTCCTGGCCTTAATGACTTCGGATTTGAGTACCAGGAGCAAGATAGGATTGTCCAGCGAGCTGGTGCACACAACCCAATCGCTACGCGGGTCAAGCTGCGCTCTCAAAGCTCGGATATTCTCTCTGCATTGAACAAGCACGTCGGGATTTGACTGCAGTAGTTTCACAGATTCGCTTGCTGTCATGGCCAACATGGCCGGTAAGGCAGCAGAGTAGGTGTAAGCAGAGGAAGTGATGCGCTGGTGCACAATGACATCTTTGGATCCAGCACAGAATCCGCCTCCCGCGCACAATGGGCCAGAGAGTGATCCGATAATCATGTCCACTTGTTGCGGATCGACGTTTTGCGCTTCGGTGAGGCCACGCCCAGTTCGCCCCAATACTCCGAAGGACCAGGTTTCATCCAGAATAATTCGAAACTTGTACTTTTCCTTCAGCTCAACCAATCGGGGTAGATCAGTTACATCGCCGGTCGTCTCAAATAAGCCTTCAGTAACAACGAATCGACGTGTCAGTTTACCCGATTTTGCCTGCTCATTTACAACAGATTTCATCACTTTCTCTAGGTCACTCATGTCTCCGTGTTTGAACCATTTGATGTTGCTCCTGGAAATCTGTAGGCCTTTGCGGATGGAATAATTGGCAGCAGCATCAGCAATAATCACATCTCCACGCTTGCAAAAAGAAGGAATGACGCTTGAAACCGTCGAGAAGGTTTGCGCATAAACAATGCATGCTTCCGTGCCGAGAAATGAAGAAATGTCTGCTTCGGCTTTCTCATGAACGTCCTGAGTGCCATAAAATTGAGGAGGTCCACAAGGGCCAACTCCATATGTCCGCAGCGTTTGGATTGCCTTCTCCTTGATTTGGTCGTTGGCGTTAAAGTTATAGAAGTTGTAGGATGCCAGATTAATAGCAGTGCGTCCATTGGATAATTTGACTTTGGGACCCGTCGGTCTGAGTCGTGAATCAATATACCGCAGTATCATTATTAGACGGCATCAACGTACCCTACAATAACCGGAAGTTTTTCATTCTCGATCTCTTCAATGAGAGTTTGGTCTGCTACAAGCGGTTCGGGAGTCCATTCGTCAATCAATTCCTCGATTTCCTGAAGCCATAGACAGTCAGTGATGGTACTATTAGTCAATTGACCGGAGACTTACGCCTTCCCGCAACTTGACAAAATTCTGCTTGTGGGTAGAGTATGAAGGAGACATCAGATACCGTATGAAAAACAAAACGAGTATCAATTCAATGGCAGATCGAACGGGGTCATTTTGGTAGCTGGATTGGATGTATCGGGCCAGCATAGCCGAGCCGGGAAGTTTCTGGAAATTAGTCGATACCACATGGGCAATTTCGCCAAAGCGAACCTGGAGAGTATCGAACTCCATTGTGATCAACCCACCGGTCGTGAGCAGTCGATCTTGTATGACTTTGGAGTGCTGGGGAAGATGTAAATGGTCAAAGGCCGAGCTTGAACGCAAAAGGACAAGTAGTGCAAGTCGCTTAGTCATACGCTGATACATAATAGAATACAAACCGCAACTAGCAAATAGTACCTACCTACCTATTATATTACCTACTAGGTAGTAGTCAATGTTAAAACATCATAGGTAGCTTTGCAAACTATATCTTACTAGGTATTTATCTGTTTATTTCCACAAAATATTTGACAAGCAAGTATTTGACATATTATCGATTATCTATATGTAGATACATATATCCTAAATATAGATTCTCATATTAGCACTACTTCGTATCTTAGTGCATATCTACCCCTTCGGCAGGCACGTATTCCTCTAGTGCGTCCCTGGCATTCTTCCTCGCAACTTTATTTCTCTTCTCTAATGTAGAATGGCCCTGTTTAGAAAGCTGTCACGGCCACTCTTTCTTCCTCCTGTATTGCACAGCCGAACACTGCAAAACATCATTCTAATTGCTTCTTGTCTTATCTTCTTCTTCTTCTTCTTTCTGTATAATCTCAGAGAACCAGAACCCACCCAATTGCTGCCGTATCAAATTTATCCACAGACCAACGACTCCATACATCATACGGTGACGGAGTTTCTTCCCGCCTCTGTAGAAACCGGAAAAGATTCGACTCGAGAACTTTGCGATTCGTTCCCTAAACATGTATTATCAAGAATACAGCCAGTTCTTAAGACCGGTCATGGCGATAACAAGGAAAAATTGAACGCGCAAATGGACAGCACCAGCGCTTGCTTTACACCAGATGAATTGATCATCTTTTCTGATCTCGATGAAAAGATCCGGGATCATCATGCTATCGACATCTTGGCCCATCTACCTAGCGCCCATTATAATGCTACAACCTTCAAGATGTGGGAAGAATATCTAGCCCAAAAAGAAATGCAAGCGAACGGTGTATTAGACACTGAAGCACAGGTAAAGCACATAAATGGATGGGCGCTGGACAAGTTCAAATTCTTACCTATGATGGAAAGAGCTTGGGCCATGAAACCGAATAGAGACTTCTACGTCTTTTACGAAACAGACACGTAAGTGGACTCTTGTATTGATTGGCCTGATGCCTCATTGACGTCGTCTCTCCCAGTTATATTTTCTGGGACAACCTCTTCCGGTTTCTTCAAACATACAACCCAGATGCGAACGTTTACATTGGCTCGCCATCTCCTGGGCGCCGTGATCCCAAACGGGGAGACCAAGGCACCCTCTTCGCTAACGGGGGTCCTGGATATGTGATCAGTCGAGGCGCTATGAAGACCTTGTTACAGCGCACTACTGGTCCATTTGGACAGTATACCGACGACCCGCTGTCCGTAAAATTCAGCTATCTAAATCATGATGATGAGTGCTGTGGCGATAGCGTTCTGGGGTGGGTGTTATGGGAGCTTGGTATTCCTATGCATGGTCACTGGCCTATGTTTAGTGATTATGGCCTTCATGATATTCCCTTCAATGATCAGCATTGGTGCCAGCCGCTCATCACTCTGCACAAAACACCACCAAAAGATATGGTTGATTTGTTCAGCTGGGAGTTTAGCCAGCGGAAATCCCAGGTCAGTAGCGTCCCGTACATGTTTCATACAACTATTTGCTTCTTCTATCGAGTATGGGCAAGTAGATTTGACCTGCTTCATAGCTGACAAACCAATAGCGCCCATTGCTATATACAGATATATGGGAATTTCACAAACCGGGCACTGTTCCATCGCGTGAGAACTGGGATGGCGGCCGCTTTGATGCGTTTGAGCCACCCGCTGAGGTTATAATTGATTCATCTGAGCAGTGTGGCCGTGCTTGTAGCGATGACGTGGGCTGTTTACAATGGAAATGGGAAGGGAGAGACCGGAAAAGGTGTACTCTTTTACGGTCATTACAACACGGAAGGGCACGGAAGGCGGAGAAGGAAGACGGAGATAAAGAAGGCTGGGTTGATTATACATCAGGCTGGGTAGAAGAGCATATAACGGAATGGAGAAAAAGACAAGACTGTGGTATTGTTAAGTGGGTTGGGGCAAGTGTAGAAAGGAAATTTTAAAATAAAAATAAAAGTTTAAGAAAAACATAATTATTTAAGTAATATAATTTTACTATTTAAGCTATAGTACAAATTATTAACTTTAAAATTAATATAAAAATTTATTATGAAATTAATAAAAATTAATATATAAAAAATCAAAATTAATATATAAAAATTTAAAATATAATATAAAGTAATAATAAAAATTAATATAAAAAGGCAGTTAATAGGGACGCATAATGTTTTTACTATGGACGCATAATTTTATAAACGCATAATAGTTTTTTTAAATACAAATAAATTAAATAATTTTATATAAATTTTTTTTAATAAAGTTTAATAATAAAACTATTTAAAACTAAAATCCGTTTTTTTATATTTATTTTTTTTAATTTTATATAAAATAAAAAAGAAAATTATAATTTTTGCTTATATAATTATTTTGTTTTTTTCTCTCTTTTTTTTATATTTAATATAAAAATAACTATAGAAGATAAATTTATAAAAGAATGGTAAATGAATAACTTAAAAAATAAGCTTTATAAATATATTATTTTTATTACGTAATAATAAAAACTTACTTAGTTATTTAATTATGCATCTGTAAGGTTATGCGTCTGTAGTAAAAACATTATATATCCCTATCAATTGCCTATAAAAATTGTATTTATTATTTAAAAGTTTAGTAAAGTTATAATAATAAAGTTTAAAAAAGGCTATATTTTAGTTTTTATTTTAAAATATAAAATTAATTTATATAATAATTTAACTTATACTTAAATATATAAAGTAATTCTTAAAGTAATAAATTATTTATAATTTATATTAATAAAAATAATAAAATATATAAAAAATTGATTTTAGTATTATATTAATAAATTAAGTATAAAAATTAATATTATTCTTAAGTAAGAAAAATAAATTACTTAAGAACTAAAATTAAAATAATTATTATTAAACTTTTATTTAATAACTATTAGTTAATAACTTAGTTAATTTATATTTTCTTTTTTATAATTAATTTAAGTTACTTTTTTTACTTTATTTATTTTTTAAGCTTTAGTAAACCTTTTTTATAATATTAATAATATTAAAATTATAAGTTTTTATAATAATTATTATTATTAATTTTTTATTACTTTTAATTATTATAATTATTTATAATAAACTTTAGTTAATTATTAATTTATTATTAATTATTATAAGGGTTTATTACTTTTATATAAAGTATATTATTTTATTAAGTAGTTTTATATATTATATATATAATTTATTTTTAAATAAAATTATTATTACTTTTTATAATTTAATAAAATAATATAATAGTTTATTAAGTTTAGTAAGGTTATTTAATTATAAATTATAAGCTTAAAGTTAATTATATTATATTTAAATTTTATTATTTAAGTTTATATAAATATATATATATATATATATTTAAGTTTAATTTTAAACCTTAATATAATAATTATACTTTATAGCCTAAATTTTTAAGGTTTAACTTAGTAAATTATAATTAATTAAGTTAAATTATAAATTAATTATAAATTTTAAACTAAAGGCTAAAGTATAATTTTTCTTTAACTTAGTTATTATAACTTTATTAAATTATTTAATAATAAATATAACTTTTATATAAATAATTAATTATTTAAGTTATTTAATAAATATAAATATATTATTATTATATAATTTTTTAAAGTAATATAATTTATTATTTTATTATTTTAAAAAGTAATTATATAAAGTATTTTAATTTTTAAAATTAATATTTTTTTATTAATTAAAGTAAAATAATATTATTTAAGGTATATATTTATTTTTAAATTATATAAGGGATTAAATTAAGTTATAATATAATATTTTTTTATTAATTTTATTTTTAAAATTAAATTAAAAAACTTATATTTTATTATTTTTTTATATATAATTTTAATAAAAAGTAAAATAATTTAGTAAATTATAAAATTATTTAAAAATTAAAAAATTATAAATTTAAATTTTACTTATTTTATAATTTTATTATTATAAATATTATAAATTATATAATTTAAAATTATAAATTTTACTTAAATTTATATATAATAATATAAAATAAATAATTATTATATATTAATACTTTAGAGTATATAATATATTAAGAAAATATAATAAATTAAGTTTTTTAATTTAATTTATTAATTATTAACTTAGGATTTAAAATTAAAAAATTAATAAAAGTTTTTTTTAATATTTATTTATTTTAAAATTTAAGTAAAGCTTATTATATTAAAATTAATTAAAAGTTTTTTTAAAATACTTAAATAAATATTAAGTAATTTTAATATAAAATTTCTTTTTATATTATAATTATACTTATATAATTCTTTCTTAATTAAAAATAAATAAATTACTTAAGAATTAAAATTATAATAATTATTATTAAATTTTTATTTAATAATTATTAACTAAGTAATATTACTTTATTAATATTATTACTTAATAATAACTTAATTAATTTATATTTTCTTTTTATAATTAATTTAACTCTCTTAGGTATAAAAAATAAACTGCTTAAAAAGAACTAGTTATAAAAAAGCCTTTATATATAGTAACCTTTAATTAATTAGCTAGTTTAACTAGCTATATATATATAGCTATATAAATCTTACTTACTATTTTAGGCTACTTTATTAGCTTTTTTAATAATTTTCTTAATTTTTTTACTTAGCTTAGGGTTTTTAATACTCTTTAGCTAATTTAACTTATACTTTACCTTACTTAATTTTAATTTTTTCTTTTTTAAAGCTTTTAATTATAAGTTTATAATTTTATTAATTATAAATTTAGCTATTTATTTAGCTATTTTACTATATATTTTAAGTTAAAGTTAAATTATAGCTATTACTTAGGAGCTTTTATAATAGTTATCTCTTTTAATAAGTAAGTATATAGTTTTATTAAGTAGTCTTTTGTATTATATATATAATTTATTTTTAAAAATTATTACTGCCTTTTATAACCTAATAAAATAATTTTATTTAGTTTAATTAAGTTATTAAACTATAAGTTATAGGCTTAAAGTTAGTTATATTATATTTAAACTTTATTATTTAGGCCTTTTTATATATTTTAAGTTTAATTTTAAACCTTAATTAATTATATTTTATAGCTTAAATTTTTAAAGTTTAACTTAGTTAGCTATAGTTAATTAAGTTAAGTTATAAATTAATTCTAGATTTTAAACTAAAGGCTAAGGCATAGCTTTCCTTTAACTTAGTTATTATAACTTTACTAAACCTTTTAATAATAAATATAATTTTTATAATTAATTTAAATTATTTTTCTTTATTTTATTTATTTTTTATATTTTAGTAAAAATATTTTATAATATTAATAATATTTAAATTATAAATTTTTATAATAATAATTATTATTTTAGTATTAATTATTATTAATTTATTATTATTTTTAATTATTATAATTATTTACTTTTCCTAAGTATAAAAAATAAACTTTTCTTAAGTATAAAAAATAAATTACTTAAAAAAAAATTATAAAAAAACTTTTATATATAATAATTTCTCTTAAGTATAAAAAATAAATTGCTTAAAAAGAATTAATTATAAAAAAACCTTTTTATTACCTTATTAACTTTTTTAATAATTTTTTTAATTTTTTTACTTAGCTTAGGGTTTTTAATACCTTTTAGCTAATTTAATTTATATTATATTTTATTTAGCTTTAGTTTTTTTTTAAACTTTTAATAATAAGTTTATAATTTTATTAATTATAAATTTAGTTATTTATTTAATTATTTTATTATATATTCTAAATTAAAATTAAATTAAAATTATTTTAATATATAGTTTTATTAAGTAATTTTTTATATTATATAAGTATATAATTTATTTTTAAATAAAATTATGATTATTTTTTATAATTTAATAAAATAATTAATATATTTTATTTAATTAGGTTATTAAATTATAAATTATAAACTTAAAGTTTATATTATAAAAGTTATATTTATTATTAAAAAGTTTAATAAAGTTATAATTATTAAATTAAAGAAAAATTATATTATAGCTTTTAGTTTAAAATCTAAAATTAATTTATAACTTAATTTAATTAATTATAATTAACTAAGTTAAATTTTAAAAATTTAAGTTATAAAATATAATTATTAATTAAAGTTTAAAACTAAACTTATATATATATATATATAAAAGCCTAAATAATAAAATTTAATATAATATAAGCTTTAAGTTTATAATTTATAATTTAATAATTTCTCTTAAGTATAAAAAATAAATTACCTAAGAGCTAAAATTAAAATAATTAATATTAAACTTTTATTTAGTAATTATTAACTAATAGTAATTTAATTAATTTTTATTTTCTCTTTTCTAATTAATTTAAGTTATTTTTTTTTACTTTATTTATTTTTTAGGCTTTAATAAACTTTTTTTATAATATTAATAATATTAAAATTATAAATTTTTATAATAATTATTATTATTTTAATAATAATTATTATTAATTATTTATTACCTTTAGTTATTATAATTATTTATAATAAACTTTAGTTAATTATTAACTTATTTTTAATTATTATAAAAGTTTATTACTTTTATAATATATTATTTTATTAAATAGTATTTTAATTTTAAAAATATTATATATATAATTTATTTTTAAAAATTATTATTACTTTTTATAACTTAATAAAATAGTTCTATTTAATTTAATTAAGTTATTAAATTATAAATTATATACTTAAAGCTTATATTATACTTAAACTTTATTATTTAAGCTTTTATATATATTTTAAGTTTAGTCTTAAACCTTAATTAATTATATTTAAAGCTTAAATTTTTAAAGTTTAACTTAGTTAATTATAGTTAATTAAGTTAAGTTATAAATTAATTTTAAATTTTAAACTAAAGGCTAAAATATAATTTTTCTTTAATTTAATTATTATAACTTTATTAAATTTTTTAATAATAAATATAACCTTTATAAAAGTTTTTTAAAAA